CAACAAACAATCCCCCTTACATGTATTCGCTTTTATTTAAGTGATGTCCCAATCAGGCAGGCGACCGACTAACACTGAATGCATTGCTAGCTAGCTCATCTCCAGTGGTTTACAGAGATTTATTAAACGAGGAGGGCAAAGTGTGGATATACAACCCAAGCACAAGGTGCCCTGAAGGCAGCCCCATTTCCCTCACACCAAGTTGGAGTGGCCTGGCCGGCCAGTCATTAACAAGTCCTGCAGACAAAAACCCAGCTGAATACCAATATACACGCAATATGCCTAGAACTAAATGCTCATCCACCCTATGCCCCTAACAACAAATTGAGTTACAGCTTAACCAGGCTCAGCCCTCATCTTGTGAGGTTCAGGACAAGTTCAAGATGATGGAGAAGGGGAGGGGGAGGAGAGTAATACCGGTAGTTGGTAAACACGAAGAGCAAGGAAACAAATATTGCGCTACTCGGACATTCTTGGTAGTATCCGGCGTGTGGAAAGGCAACACTCACATGATCAGTATAACAAATATAGTATGTACTTACGTTGTGAATATCCATAGAACAAGCTAAAAGCTTTAATTAGGTTGACTATGTAATGTGTAAGAATTGAGAACAATCAACCTCCTATAGACTGTCATTCGGTGAACAAGATTAGAATCCATTTTTGAGGTGAAACACGTGTTCTTAACTAGACAAGGCGTGTGGGCATGTTGGTAACCCGGCCTAATGGTCTAAGGAGATATACATGTGCTACCTGAGTGCAACTTGTGTGAGCCTGGTTCCACCTCAGAAAATGGCTGATGCTGAATACATGTAAGTCTATGTTCATGTATCTTACAGCCCCACGTTCCATCATAGAGCCAATTGACTCTTGAACAGCAAGCAAATTGTACAACAGCTTTACATGTAGCTGTCATTTATCATACAATGATGTAATAAGGCATGTACATGTATCAGTTCCATGATGTCATTGGAGGTACATCTTGTCTGTCTTCGCATGTATCCTAAACACATATATTTCTTAATGTCACGTCATGTCATGACTTTGCCAGCTGATGGTGATCAAGTTACAAATTCCTTGCAGCCTGTCATAATGAATTACTTCCTTGGGTGTCATAATTGGGGCCCTAGGAGACATGCTCTGTCTTAATGAAATCTATGGCCTTGCCTCAGGTTGCCTAGAAACAGATATCCGTGGGTACATTCACTGCTACCGGTACATTCTCTGGTATAGCTCCAGGCATGGACACTGTTTGGGAGATGGGGTTGATGTTTGTATCATACTGTATCATTGTTATCTGACAGTCCTGACAGAAGACTGCATGCATCATCAGATAACCCCGCTACGACTTGGACTCCATGCAAGTACAGCATGTACATGTACCCTGTACTAGGACTCCATGTACCCCACGTAACAAAGACTAAGTTTGGAGGGACTCATGAATAGTTGAATGCATAATGCTATGCTTTTTGCAAATGTATTGAGAAGAAGATTGTGGAGTGCTGTGGCCTAGTGGTTAAGGGCACTGGATTCGTAGTCTGTGGGTAAAGCTGCGGGTTGTGGGTTCGAGTCCAGCCTGGGGTCATGGTGCGTGTGCCCTTGGGCAAGGCACTTTGTCACTCATTGCTTCTCTCCACCCAGGAGTAAATGGGTATCTGTGAAGGCAGAGATGGTTATTGTGACTGAATTAGCTTCCTTGCACCATAGAGCTTTATGCTTGCACCTAACAGGCTGCATCGAGCTTTATACTCCCCAGGGAGCTAAGATGGTATTTGGAATGTTTAATTGGCCCAATGATCAGGGGAAATAATAATGTAAAGCGCTTAGATCTTTGTTAAAAGTGCTATATAAGAATCTGTTATTGTTATTATTACTTTTGTTGTTTCAAACGAAAAAAATGCACAAATGACAAACGATCTACATGTACCCTAACTTTAATGTGGCCTCATTCCTAATACCAATCCCCAGATTGGCTTGTTTTGTACATGTATCTACTGGTACATTGGGAGCACAATAACCAATGATATCAATCATAATATTTGTTTACCCAGGATGAGATAACAGTGGCATCCTGGTAATGCAGGGTTCAAGATAGGGAAGTATCCCATAACTATTTGGGTATTCTACATGTACATGTATGGGCAACCAATAAACTCATCAATGTCATTACAGCCATCATCTTACATACATTGTACATGTATGAATAGGCATACAATTAATGACATTTTGCAGGTTGAGACCCCTTACTTGAAATCATACATGATTGTACTATTTATGCACATTTACTATGTAAGACAATTATGTACAGCATACATACATGTACATTATAGTGTAAATGTGTAAGTACTGCATTTCTGTATCAAAAATTACCGCTGATCAAAAACCCAAATTCCATTTTTCATTTCCTAAATATAAGTATGTGTGTGTAAATCCAATTTTCCAGAGACACTGACGATCCTATTGAACTCTGGCTCAAGCACTTTCCCGATCATCCTGTAATACATGGCCAAACCATGCCAGTCCCTTTATAATGTGTAACAAGACTGAGAACTTTAAACCCCTGCTCTTATTAAACCACGCTGATAATATTTTTCTCCTCCCAAGTCCCAAAACCTCATTTCTCTAAATTAATAAAAGGTTTGCTGAAATGTCAAAGTTTAGTCTGGGTATTAGTGCCGTAAACCTGTTTGTTCTTACGTGGGTATATTCTAGGGCAGTATAATTGGATGATGAGGAACTAATAACATTCGTGTCATTGCTGTAGAAACCAGCGCAGAAATACGTTATACACAGTAGCCTGGGGTAGGGAAATGAAAATCTGTTATCGCTCAAAATATGCTGGTGTACATGTAGGCTTACATGATTGTACCAGATGTATCCTTCACTCTCCTTTATACAGCACATGTCCATGTACAGTGATGTACAATGGTCATGAACAGAACATGTACCGGTTTTATTGTTTGGGGTAATAATATTTAAACAGTCAATCAGTCTTAGGTAATTTTGTTATTGTACACATGTACATGTAAATGTACATGTACATACAATGCATGTTATACAATGTACTAGCTTTTATTTTGTTGTATACATGTACAATGAAGTATACATGTAGTTAAATATGTACCGGTACATGAATGTATGTAATTTTATGTTTGAGTGTGATGAATATTTGGAGAATAGTTTTTCTATAATGAAACCTCCATGTTCAAACATTGTACAGAAATACACGTGTAAACTGGTTCAAAGTCAATGCAGGCTGTAACGTTAGCGCCTTTAACTTTTTAACAGTTTTTTTTCATATTTTGAGTTCAATTCTTAAATCCTTTTTTTTTTTAGTTCCGTGACAATCTCATGTAACTGTAGTACAAAAAGTGTATAAGTACTGCTGCAAATGCTCCACAAATGGATTTCTATTTGAAAACGTTTCTGAAAAGAGAATCATTTGTCAACCTCCCTTTTCCGCACTCCACATGCAGCACACTTCAACCCAACAATAAATGATGAGTTTTTAATTGCTCTGTTTGCAATGTTCCATGCTGCAGAGAAATCCTAGCAGTTGGTCTTGTCACCATAGCAATATTGAAGTACCACGCTGTGAAAAATTGCCGCTGAGAGCACTCTTTGGTTCCCGAGGGGTGCAATTTAGCATTTTGAGAGGTGTGATTTATGGTCACCTTGAAGACAACATGAATCCAGGTGATTCACATGTCCTACATGGTTGTTGTGGGATACATACGTAGTGATTGGTGGAAATTAACGGTTGGTTTGTCACAAATTATCACACACTGGCAATCTTAAGCAAACACTAAAGTGCTTAAATAGCTGTGAAGCGGCTGGTCCTGCATTTCTTCCATTCTTAAGCCAGCAGATCGTCTAGCGCCCTCATGCATGTGAACCCAAGTACTGGTAGGCTTCACCATATGTAAGACATTGAAGTGCCAACTCACGTCGAGTGAATAGTGCACTCGCCTTAGAAGCAAGTTCGAAAGAGTTGTCTTCTTTTATTGTTTTGAAATCCAATCCTACTTTTAATTTGCGGAATATTTCATCTTCTTTTTCTAACTTGTGGCTCATGAGGATTTAAAAAAAGAAAAAAAAGAAGTAAAGTCCGAAATTGCATTAGGTATGATTCCCATCATTTTACGAGTGGTTCCGCACAAAGGCAACATTTGAAATCCTTAAGGGTAAACCATGAACTATAGAGAAAAAGGAAAAGGCATTCACAATGCCATCGCTCAGCGGTCTTTTTTTCCATGTGAAAAAAATTTGGAACTAAGCACCGTCGATATATCAATATTACTCGATTATTTGATATTATTTTGATATCAATATCGTCGATAGCAATTTTTTAATCATATTGAAATTTTAAAAATTTCAATATTGAGGAATGATATTAAAAATGCGTCAGATTATCCTCAAAAGAAATCTCCCATTTGTGCCTTTACTTTGTGTTTAATGTGTGCTGCAAAATGAAATAAAAGTTGGCGGCAACTCGGGCTTGTGACTGAAAATAAAAAAAAACAACATGAAATGCCAAGCGGCAACGCTTTGTGTTTTTCGTACCCCTTATGTAAAACATTAAGAACACCTATTCTCAAACTCTCAGTGCTGGGAGTTGTTAAACAGTGTTTGAGCAATATGCTTCAAACTGTCAAAGAAAGCCCTGGAAGGGGATAATCGATATATCAAATATCTTGATATTTGATTTCCGATATTTCGATTTTGCAAATTCTGATATCGACCATTACCTACGCATACATGTATGAGTACATGTACATACAATGAACATTTAGATTGAGAGAATCACACAGTTTACGTATAAATCAAAATGCCGACAGAATGCCAACATAGGGTTAGCTCAGTTGGTACAGCACTGGTACGGTACCATGTACTCTGAAGAATGTAAGTTTTGAATCCTGGGGAGGAGCGGCAGTATAATTTAAATCAAGTAAAGAATGGACAGGACTTCTACAACATTTTCAAGACTCAAGAGTACTTACTCTTGTAGGAATGTCTCTAAATCTCCAGCAAAGAAGTCCTCACCAAGTTGGTCCGATAATCTTACAAAGTTTCCAATCAGTGAACCGCCCTTGTAGATTTGTAATGCCGGCAAGCCATTTGAGATCTATAAAAGACAATTAGAAATGCACTGACTGGAATAAAGGATTGAATGTGCACATGCTACCAAATGAAGATAATGCAAGGCATGTAACTACACGTTGGTTTGTGTAAAAACAACAACTCCTCATCACATTCTGATAACAGTTTCATGTAATTATTAAGAGGCTTACTCGTCACAAAATAATCGATATAAGACTGGCGGAAGAATACACTCACTGGAGCGCATTTTGTACACAGGAAAAATCCACCTGTTATTTCAGACTTGAAACATTGTTTAATCTGCCAAGAATGAGCTACACTGTACACACTTGAAGCTGCCAAAAAGTGAAATCCTATTAAAAGGAATTTAAAAAAGTGACAATTTACATTGGAGCTTGTCAAATTAATATTGTCCCCTGAATCCACAGCAGACTCATTCATTAAATCCAATCCATTAACTCTGCGAGCAGGCGAGCAGGCGAGGCAGAAGAACATTGACTGTTTTAACCTTCTTGAGTTTGGGTAAAGCAAGTTCTGCGATGTACATACATTTAATGTTGAGCATATTAGGCTGGTGAAATGCCTGCCTGACTTACAGTTTTCACAAGGATGCTCCAGTGAGCCAAACTATAGGCTCGTGAATGATTAAAACCCTAATGTAATAAAAAAAAGGCTCATGGAGCATTATTTCCGAGTCTACAGCTTGCCTGCATGAGTGGCTTTTGGTAAACATGACTTGAAGGCAATGCAGGACATTTTCACCGTTAAATGGAAACTGTACACCATGGATACATCATGGTTGTGTACACTATTTCTATAGTTATCGTATTCAGAAAACTTTAGGTTGTTTTGTGCATGTATGTGTGATGCATTGGTCTTGTTTGACATTAATGTGTACTTTAATTAAAGGTTGCAAATCAATTGAGAGCAAGGAGGAAACTCCCCAAACAAGTGTTCTGGTGTTATGATCAACACTAGAAAGGGCGGCACATTTTTTTAAGAAAAATTACAAATCCCCCTCTCTCAAAACCCTGGCTCTCTTACTGCCCTTTTGGCACTTCTGAATTCCCATGATCCATCCTAACCCAAATTTCAGGAATATTTTGTCTCCATTCATGCCATTGGGTGATAAGCTTGTTAACTCAAATGCTGAAGAGATTTTTTAAAAAGGTTGAAGAGAACTCCCTTACTGAAAAAAATCCTAACTCTCACGTCATGTTAACCAGAAGCTCACACCAAAAAGCCATCCTTGCGCTGAAAACCAATGGTTGAGTTCAGCCCTTCAGCTTTTGTTTTTATCAATACTGTATACTCAGTGTTGTCTGAGGACTGGCAAGAAATAATTCACAAGCTTTCCCACAAGCCCTCAGACAACAAGCCCTTGGTAAATCAAAACCAATAAAAAATTAATCTCCCCGACGCAAATTCCATCTAAAAAAAATTAGTTTGATTGCTGTACTCGCTGCTACGTACATATATCCAAGCAGGATCAAATTGGATTCCCATAGTGTACACTTGTCTCCCCACTTGTTCTGTATTCATGGTATTTGTTGCTGAAATGTACGTCAGGTTCAATTAAATCCAGGGGGTAAAAAAGCACACACACAAAAAGAAAGAACTGCCCTAGTAATGAAGAACGGTATTCAACCGTGCAGATATAAGGAGGACGCAATCAAATATTGATAAATATCCACAGCGCTTTTGGCTCTCGGGTAGGTCATGTACATGTATTTACATAGGTTTGAGATGAATTGATCAACTGGCATAGTTAGTCTAACCTGTAGGCCTACATTTACATTCTAATCCATACAGATCACCACTGGGATTCAGATGTTGCTGCAAGTATTTGAAACAGAACATAGGCCTAACTGTTTACTCTTCTGCAATTTGAGCCTTTGAGATATTTTGGAAATTTCATTTTGTTTTTAAGACATTACTGTACACATAAAAATATTTCTTTTCTACGGTAATTATTATCTTGAAAGTGCACAAACCTTGCAATCTATTTATCTATTGCCTTTGTCTGGAATTGGTGTCATTGGGATCATCTAGTCACAGAAGTTCTTAATAGTCTTAATGCTTCTAAATTATTTTTTAAAAATGGCATTATTCTTTTGCCGGTTACCTTAAAGTACATGTAGGTTAGAATTAAACAATAAATTTGGGCTACATGTAGCATGTTTAAAGATAGTATGATTCAACCTAACAAGTTTGTACATGTACATGTACATACCTTTATTACCCATATGGCACACTCTTGCTATTAAACAATTTATGAGGGCATTGTGCATAGCAGGCTTGAGAAATTGCTTGAACTAAAGCCGGCCAGGGTGGCGTTCCGGCCCCAGAGTTAGTGTATACACATGTAGAGCTCAGCCAACGCTTGCTTTTATGGATGTTATTGGTTCAGCTGTGTGCAATCGATGAGTTCCCTCAAGCATTAACCTAGGATCTAAAGCCGCTGGCAGGAATATCCAATTGGCTTAGTTTAACAGGGGAGTGTGGCCTAGTGGTCAGGGTTTGTGACTTGTGATCAGAGGGTCAGGGGTTCGAATCCAGCTGCTGTTCCCATGTTGTGTCCTCAGGCAAGTTACATACTTCAATTCCACTTGCCTCCCTTCACCAGGAGAGGAGAATAAAGAGGTTCTGGCATTAGCTGGGGAATAACCTGCGTTGGACTGGTAGACTCTATCCCATAGAAATACATGTACATGTATATTCTTACTTGTTTCATGACAAGAGGAAGACAGAGGAAACAAGAAATAAAAGTTGGGCGAAAATAATGAGTCAATTTGGTTTAGAGCAGATTATTTTATCTGAGCCTTGCATGAGGAGAAACGACACATCCAACACTTTTATGTAATGCTGGGAAATGCATATACTCACTTAGGAAAAGTCAAACTAATTAAGTCATGTCTAATTAACATGGTGATGGACTTAAATACATGCACCCATTCAGGTGCTTATATTGCTCCAAGGGCTCAATGTTTTACAGGGGACCCTTGGTTAGCATGTAAAAACTAACTCTGAAACTTCAAAGAGTATACATTCACACCATTACTGTGACCACTGGGTGCAATACAACAGAGCCTGCTAAACACACAATATTTGCTTATCAAAATCAGTTACCAGCCAAGTGTCATGTAGTGTGTACAGCTTCTACTCAGCTGGTACCTGCTTAGCCATTATGTTAGCACACAAAGTTACTCAACAGTAGTTTCTGATAAGTAAACTCCATGAAATGGGGCTCATGGTCCAGCTACATTTTGAAAGGCAAAAGAAGGGGCAAGACAAGATGCCAGAGTCTTAAAGATTAATACTCACAAAGTTCTGACTAAGGTTGACATCTTGGGCATAGATGGAACAGAACTTGACGTGTGGGTACTCCTGGGCGAGGCAATGGAGGCAGCCTTCCATAGCCTCACATGCTGGCACTGACTGCAAGACAAATAGAGAAACTAATGACATTCGTAAATTATCAATTACATTTAAAAATGGACATAATGTTCAGCATTTGCATGCCAGCCACACCTGAGACACATTCTAAAGGGGTCACGACAAAAGTATATTTTGCAACAGTATATTTGGATTCATTTTATCAATGAAATAGTACTTGTACATGATGTTTATTTTGTTCTTACAGAACATATTTTATATTCGCCTGACTTGAGTGAAAACAAAAAATACCTTTACTGATGTTTGCTTAGCAAAAGTGGGTTACAAAGCATTTTATGACATGATGACTTTACATACATGTAGGAATGATTTCCAGCTGAATGTTTTCTCATTATGTTTAATTGCTTTGTAATTACCTGCTTAGTACACGCCTCTATGAAACAGGGCCCAGAGCTTTTTGTCATTTTTTTTTTTTTTGTGAGACAACTTAGACAACACTTTTTAATGTCGCACTATGCTTCCGGTAAAACATCTCATCTGCATAAATTCAAAAGGGAAACTTTAGCCAACAACGCAAAGAACTAGCACGGGTTGCTGTAGTTGTACTTGTAAGAAATGACAGGTTGGGTTTGCTACTGCCCCATCCTTCAATCCACACACTTCAATTGATCAATTTCAATCCCCAACTATATATTTCCACTTTCGTAATGAAATTAAAATAACTGTCTGTTTGCATCAGGAAGAGCATCTGTATGGGAGAAGACAATTAAACATCTGCTGTGAACTAACGAGATGTTATGATTCTCATGTCTATAGGAAATTACCAACTGGCAGTGAAGTTCACGGTACTCTTTACTTGTCTCCCCCTTTCACCAGTTCACTGATTGCCAGTAGGTGAAGACAACAAATCTGTTTAATTTTTAAGCACAGAAAGTGTAGTCCCTACTGCTTGTGAATTGGTTGAGGGATGTACTTCACTTCATAATACTCAACTAAGCCTAGCTGATTGTAATAGTTTGTGCTCTGATTGACCATGGCTGTTATGTGCATCTCCAAGAACTGACAGCCAAAAAATGGTTTGAAATCAACCTTTTGTATGCACGGAGTAAAGGCCTACCGGTACATGTACATTGTACAGGTACCGGTAGCAGAAGTTTCTCATACGTGAATTTTGCTTGTGAATATGTGGACATTTGCAAAGACATCTGGTTTCAGTTGTTCACACTTTAGACTGGTGTGATTCCATTTCATACACCAGCTGCTCATCAGGGTTAGTCCTTCCAATTATTACTGGCCAATAACCAGGCCCAAATGCAGGTTTTATGACCAAAATGTTGAAATCAATTTTCCTGAGGACCTTCTTTTGAAGAATAGTCTCAAGCACCTACATGTAGGCACCAGACTAAATACCTTTGTATACATGTACTAATTTGGTCCTAGAAGCACTGCCGGTATATACTTAATTCTATTTGGCCTACAATATGGAAAGCATTTGTAGCCATATACCAAACACTTCAAGATAAATGCTGAAACATTATAAGCATAAAATCAAACAGGGCCTACAGAACTGAGGTAAGAAATTGCTGGTAACAAATTGTTTCATAAAAGATTTTAAAATTAAGGGGAGAAAATTGGAACAAAAAATCCTACCATTAAATTCTTCGTTGTCTCTCGTAAAAGCTAACACAACTTTGTAACCCATAGGGGGCCTAAGGGAACCATTAGAATTATGTATACTTTGCTGATCAGTTGGGAAAAAAGCTTTAAAAACTAAAACAACCGTTGTACATGTAGCATGAATTTAGGTTTTATGAAATACGGACTCATTGGTGGTATTGCGCATGCTCATGCATGGATAATTAGGCAAGGGACCGGTCACGTGAGAGAAAAAAAACAATAAAAGGGAAAGGGAGTCTGATTTTCATACGAGTCCGATTTTCATATGACACCGGCATTTGCATTACCCACAGTGCATTAGGGCATGTCAGCAACACCGGTACATGTACATGTATGGGAAAACTTGTCATCCATTTTCAGACATTTCCAAACAATACCAATTTTTGGTTTAACAAGGACTCAATAAAAATGTTTTCTACAGTGTAGTTTTCCCATGAAAGCATCACTATGATTACACGAAAACTGAAGACAGAGTTTCAGATGCCTCTATTGTACAACAAAACTGAACAGAATCCAGATTGTCCAGGCTGATGTCTTTTAATCACCGGTTCGAAACACCTATAGGTGTTGCCATGTCTCAGTCATCAAGGCTCTGTCCAGACCATGGACAAGCTCCCTACAGTAGTTTATTCAGCTGATTTTCCCCTAGGGACAATTTTCTGATCTCCCAGTGTTTTGCTTTATTTCTCAGTGAGAGTATTGTGCTGGGCTTTTTTTTATTGCTTGAATTGCTCAGGCAGGGATGAGGCATTTATTGATCATCTGCCAGCCTTGGTCTAGTTGGGTAAGGCGCGCAGATCTCTTCATGAAGACCATACCATCCTGCTTTGCTGAAATGTCAGAACTGCTGTTCTTCAGCTCGTAAATCTGACAATTCCTCAAATGTCCGCATGAGGGTCAATCTTTAAAAAATGCTCATTAAAAGAAAACAAAACAAAACAGCCACACGTAAAATTATGAAGAATAAATTTGTTGGGCCTATCCTAACAAAGCAGTATATTTTATATCAATCAAGTGCCAAACACTTCAAATTGTCCATAAATTCAGCGTCATTTGTAGGGCTCGACAACTGAAGGTATCTCTGTACAGCCGTGACAGCCATTTCACTCGAATAAACAAAGTTACATGATTTTTCTGAAATTCCACATGTATGTAGTCTATTAATAAAAGAATACTTGAACTTGAACTTAAACGGAAAGAGGAATGTTGATTAGCTTATGAAATCTTTTAAATGTGTTTTCAAATGAGCACAAAACCAACATGTACTGGCCTCTAGAGGCAATCTTGCAGAATTTATATGATTGCATCTAAGATTCTTTCAAGGCCAGCCATGTTAACCATACATGTACATGTACCTCTACATGTATGTAGATAGCAGGATAAAGGGAATATACAAACATCGAAAAATAAAACTACCAAGTTTTTACAAAATACCTTACTAGGATGTTGGTAAATGACAGTCTCAAGCATCTTGTAAAATTATGGCACCTGGTGTGAAGTCATTTTCAAGAAAATGTTTTTTTGTATACATTTCCACAGTGGTCGGCCGACCACCGTTGGAAAAACCTAACTATTTTTCAACTACAGCTCCAAATTTACCATTTTTCAGTCCAAATTTTGTTTGCTATTGGTTGCATGTTCATGAACGGGTGCAGGCCAGCTAGACTGATTCCCTTGCCAAACAATTTTCCATCATCTATAAATTGATCCATTTTATCTTTTGTGGAGTCAGGGAACCAGACTACTTGAACATTTTTGTTTTTCTTGGTTTTTCCAACCTTTTCAAACACAAAACATCAAAAATGTCAGTGTAACAATATTTGATCTATTATACTAACCCCTCAAATAGTTCATTTCTGAAAATTACAGCAAAAGCCAATGATGTACATTCCCGTTAAATGTGTACATGTATGTACATGTATGCGTGATTAGTGCACATCCAATCGATAAATTGTTCCATGAATCCCAGGAATCATTACAGTAAATTACTCAGGCCACTCTGGCTGATACAGAGCAATAAAGCACATGTCATTACAGAATATGATTAATTACTCTTACTGAGTGGATGTTGTGTAGTAATGTAACATTTATCCATGCTTCCCGGGTGCTTCACAGCTACACTATCAATTACATGTAAGTCCCTCCCTCAATTACTCTAAAATGCACTCTGGTTAATTCTAGCTGAGTCTGTGATCAACACAGGGCACAGGTGTCGTGTGTGTTGATTCAGAAGCAATGAAATGAATTCTTTCTCATGGTTGAGGATTTGGACTCCATGTAGGAACAGTAGAGGGCAGTGTTTGGCCTAGTCATGACAGCCACTGATGAAGGGCTCAGCTTTTGCGTGTACTGGTTTGCAAGAAAGTGTTGCACAGTACAGTGTGCACAAACGTACATGTATAGCAGCAGTGTTTCTAGTCTCTTAGAAGTCCTGATGTTACAGTGTTTGCTATAATACCTGAGGCATAATGTACCAGGTAACGCTTTACAATGGATGTGTTCTGTGTATCGATATGTAGCTTGTTCATGGCTCTCATCCCAACCTACATGTACCAGTAGCTCCCATACAAAAGCGCAAAGAATGTAAACAAAACATGAACTCATTATTTATGTGCAGTATCTCATCACTACCGGTATATCCTCCACATGGTATTTTTTCACTGACAACTGGTCATGGACACACACAAAAACCATCATAAGGCCTATCCCATGACAGGGAAGCCCAAAACATGCTGACAATGTCACCACTACATTTATGCAGGATTTATATATTTTTGGGGTAAACTTATATTATTACAAAATCGCATGAAATACATTGTACATATATATGTACATGCTGTTGATGTGTGTAAATGTACACGTACATGTATCTGTAATGTACACGCATCAGCTTTTTAGCCTATCTACTTGTACCATGTCTACAGGTTGTTGCAAGAGGTTTTGGTGAGTTTCTTACTTTTCTGTGAGTCTGTGTCTATACGTACAAATATGTATCACAAAACTACCGGTAGTTTACTTGGGTTTATTACTTCAATTTTTTTGTCAATTACATTATTTCTCAAATCACAATCAAGTCGGCTTACCCGCTTTTAATAAGAAGTTAATGAGTGGCTTGGGTGAATGCTTGTCCTTCATTACCACAGACATCTGTTCCTTTGCCAAACACTCACGGCTTGCACAAGTGGCATTTAATCGATAGGAGGGACAGCCGGGAAAAAGGCCTCGGACAAATCAATGACTGGCCAAGGCTGTATATATGCAGTAACAAAATGGTCAGTTTGACCGTATTTGCCGTCGTATATTGACTGCTCATATGTAAAGCCTCCGTACACTACATGTACCGGTACCAAATCATTTGCATGATACACGTACCGCACTTAACACATGTGCAAACCTGTGGTGTTGAAACAGCTACACATCTTTAATTGTGTTACTGGTGTTTAAACACTTTTTAGTAATTAAAGGGTTTTTTTTGGGGGGGGGCGGAGGGAGAGGAGCAATATGTGGGTTGGGAAAGATTGACAAGTTTACTACTCCCCGATAGACTTGTAACTGCAGTCCATGTAGCCAGCAGGAAATACGTACATACAGTTATTATAGGTAGGTTTCATCAAAAGACTATGCCACAGTTTATCCAATCCCATTCAGTAATTTGGCCCCCAATTACCGGTAAAACCAATTATTGGCCTCCGACAGAAAATCGCACTTTACGAATGAAATCAATACAACTAGAAAACATATGCAGCGAAATCCCGATAAGTCAAAGCTCTGGGGAATGCGCTCAAATGTTGAGTTACATGTAAGCAGAGGTTTGAGTTAGCAAATGGATTTCCTTTTCAACAATAATTGACAGGAATAAATGTTTACTTTGTCCTTTCACTATGGCACAACTAATCTGTACTGACGACCGACTGACAGACTGACTGACTGAGTAAAGCGCATTGAGATTTGTCTTCAATGTATTTCATGTCCTAAAGTGACACTTTCAGGTTTCAGCTCAACAAGGCACCAGATTTATTGTTTAACTTGATTTTTATCTTAACGTTCTTTCCTCCCTCCACCTTTAATCTCTCATCACAAAGAACAGAGCAGTCTACTGTGCAGTATCCTTGCACTTCTCCAATGTTCCGGTATTATGTCACTGCCAATGACATCTACAGGTACGTTGCCAGCAATCCTACCTGCATAGTTTGTTTACCATGGCACTTTCAGGTTTCTGTCAAAATTTGATCTTTTTAAAAGGGACAAGAAACAAAAGCACAAATCACATCAACACTTTGGGCTGGCACTGAAGTGCAAAGCTCTCAAGTCATTTAGACAGATCAATTGCACATGTTTTTAGTGAGATGGCAGAGAGTGGCTGAAATCTGTTTTGTCGACAGGTTGGATCAATATTTACCAAAAAGCTGTCTGCCTTCCCCACCACCCCAGCAACATAATTCAATTATGTGTGAAGAGAAATTGATCCGAGGTAGTGATGTGCCATTGATTTGTTATTATTTTAATCTTTGAAGTGTAACATAATATTTGCAGCATCTGTTACATGTACATGTATGGTCTATGCTAGGCTCACAGTGCATACTGTACATGTATGCAAACTGGAAATTAAAAATGTTTTAAAGAGGTTGTGGAATGCTCGAAGACATTTCCGTCACTTTTTGGGTATATGTAGCCTAAGGTGGGATGAAATAAAAACGACTATTGTTTCTGTCATGAAATGAGTACAAAGGGTACTTTTGAGAGCTATTTTTCAGGTCCTGTTTCGACCCGAACGTGCAATTTGTGTAAAAGTCGTCGTTGCGGGCAGCAAACAAAACACAGTAAATCGTGACGTAATAAACAGAACTCGTTTATGCTACTCTGCATCGGGAGTCCTGTTTATTACGTCATGATTTACTGTGTTTTGTTTGCTGCCCGCAACGACGACTTTTACACAAATTGCAAATTCGGGTCGAAACAGGCATGACAGGACTTGAAAAACAGCTCTCAAAAGTACCTTTTGTACTCATTTTATGACAGAAACAATAGTCGTTTTTATTTCATCACACCTTAGGCTACATATACCCGAAAAATGACGGAAATGTCTTCGAGCATTCCACAACCTCTTTAACTTAAAGAAGCAATGTGCTGAAGTGTATGCTTAGTAGAATGGACACTGTAAACAGAAGAAAATGGTCCACACAAATATGTTTGAGTGAAATTTACCTCACAGCCCTTTATGACTCAAAACAAATGACTTCAAAACCTTTCTTTTTCATTGTCTGAGAAGTAACTAAGTAATATGTAAAGTTGTTTACTGGTACCCGATTCCATAATCTAGAACCGGTCTCTGACATTAACAGCCAGGTACCGTACTCGGGTACCCTGCTCTGATGCACAGTTCTAACTGCAAGCATCGCAACCAATTAAAGGGGATGGCACTTTTCATTTGGGTGATGTAGCAGTTAGATGGAATATGGTTAAGTGGATTTGTAAAAAAAAAACTGGGGTTTTTAGGCAAAAAATATTGATTTTGGTTGGTCATTTTGGCACAATATGGGAAACTTTCAAACGCAGGGTGTTTCATTTGTTGCCATGTCACTTTCTTGTAACATGAATTAGGCCTACTAATAAAAAGCTCACATGTATTGCCAAAGCAACAACACAAGTTTATTTCGTTGGCCTTTTAATAGTTTAGTCACTGACATTTTGTAATTTCAAAGGATCGTCTGTGACAACAATCCACCCTCAATGTTTTGACTTTATAGGATAACAGCACAGAGTTGACAGAAGACTCCTTCTAAATGTAACGTGTGTTACCATGGGATTGCTTATGCCAATTTGGCCAGTAAGACCCACATGGTTGCCGTAAAAGTATGTAGTATCTATCTGCAAATATTATCATGTGGACAACATGCATGTTAGGTAGTCTCTATACACATGCAGTGTAACCATTTTTCTCCCCAGTGAGAATAATTCCACATAGAAACATAAGACAAAGGCGGAAATATACGACAGCATCCCACCTATCTCAACTACAGTAGCACAGCGCAGAGCCCGCCTTGCCAGCCACTGCTACGGAGCCAAAGAGCAAGTTGTCTCTGACCTCATCTGCTGGAGATTGCCTTGCCCCAACAGAGGGAGGAGACCCCTCAACTACGTTGACACCGTATGCAGTGATGTGAGCCAGCACGTTGATGACATCACCATGGCCATGGCGGACAAGAGAGTCTGGAAGAGTTTGGTTGCATCCATCTCGGCTGTGGCCGCCCAATGATGATGAACAATTCATGCAGTATTTTATGACCATTTTCCAAATCTAAGCTTGGTCTACAGCTCTGGTTTGTCTGGACTCTAGAATCAATGTTTGTAGCCATTACTGCTGAAACCAAATGAGAAGAATGTAATGTTTGGCCTCACATTAAAGGATTTGATGTTTTTGTACCAGAAAATGGAGCAGATAATCCAGGCTTGAAGGAGGTGAATGAAGTGTGAAGCCTTAAAGCTTTAGATGAAGTCAAAGTGTAAATTAAAAACCCTCCTCTCTCTTTGTAGGGAAGAGAGGGCGACATTGCATGTACATGTAGACTTGACAAATGTTGTGTTTACTTGTACATGCACAGGAAACAAAGTAAAGAAAAACATGCATGAAATTAATTGCAAAAAAAAAAGAAATTACCCCCAAAGAGCGTGTCTAATTTCATTTTTTATGGCTGTTTAATTTGTTCATTCAATTTTACTTTGGATTAAAATGAAATTAACATGTAGATCCAGTTGGAAAAGCACTTGTTTTTATTCTTTGGGACAGTTGGGACAGTCCCAACTATAGTTGGGACCGATGCGATAGTTGGGGCGTAACAGGCCTACGTTGACTAAAAAAAAAAAATAACGTAGCGCATGGAGGAATATGTGTAGCATGTGTCATGCATTGTGTACAGTACAGGACGGGGGGCGGGGCCCGGGGGGCAAATTTTCTTTTCCCAAACGACATCCGCATACATGATTGTTTAGCGCCCTATACAATACTTTTTCGATACGCACGCAGGTATATAATTATTTGTTTCCCCACTTTTTGACGAGCAGTGCGACAGGATCAGTTGATAGAGGGTAGGATTTTGCACCGCGAGGTTGCGGGTTCGAATCTTGGTTTTGCACCCGAATTTTTTTCCTTTTCTAACCTGAGGCTTTGGAAGATTTTTTTTAAAAGGGACTCCATAATGTACATTGTATTCTGAATCACTTGCAAGCTATATGTGGGCAGTTCTGAAATGGGGCTGCTTAGCACAAACATTTGCCAAACACAGATAAAATTTTGCTTACCAGCCAATATTTCATGCACTGTGTATGCCTGTGAGTGGTTCCCTGCTCATTTCTGCTAAGCATGTAAGCCTGCTAAGCAGTATTTCTGTTAAGCAGTTCCACGATATCAGGACCTTCAAATATTTATTTTATAAGATAAAAGATCTGAAGTGACTGAGGAGAAAATGTATTTAAACAAAAATTGCCTTACCGGAGATCTGATGTGAATGAGAACAGACACACTGTTGTTTTCCTTGTCGATAGCATCTACAAAGGTTTCCTTGGTCAAATGGATGACTTTACCAAACTTTGGTCTGTATCAAGAAAACGGAAAAAGTATAAGATAATGTAAGTACCGAGTGGAGAGATTAGGGAAGGGGTAATTAAGGGGTCCAACCCCTCCCCTTTTTTTTGAAGGACTGTCCGAATATACGATCATCAGCCGAATATCTGAATAGCTTTTTGCCGGTTAGAATATTTGAAAGAAAGAAAACCCCACACATACACCGTGATGTTCTTTAAATCATAAAGTTACGGCGCTTTATTGTCTGATGCAACTTTTGTTGTCAGGCGATGGTTCATTGTTCCCATCCTTTATGCAGGTCAAGCCCTGGACTCTCATCAAATCCTTACTGTCAAACACTCCACTGGTCCATAATATCGATCACCGCACGCACATTTTATCCGGCACACTTTGCGTGCAACCTTTGACCGGGGCGGCACATGGTTGCAGCTGGCATGTGTAAGACTTGATCAGAGAGTTTCAAATAATTGAATATTCGGTGAAATGCAGTTCAAATAACCAAATACTAATTATTAAAAATGGACAGCCCTACTTTTTTTCACAATTTGCTGAGCTGTGGTGCAGTACATCACAAGTCAATAATAATTATTGTCATATGACACAAGGGATGAACTGAGCAATAACAAGGCAGTTTGTTTAATACAATGTACGTACACAGTTGAACGTCGCTATAACCAACATCGTGGGATCCACAGAAATTGTAGCGATCGTTCAGTATAGCGATTTTCACACATTAGTGGCTCCCTCTTTTGATCATTGTTATTGTGTAGTTGCATTAACAAACCACGCGCGGAGTTGCCAAACGCATCACTTCGCCAAGTACGCCCTGGTAGTTACTGAAAGACGACTTCGAACACGTGCGACTACTGAATCATGTAATTACACAGTTTTTGAGCTTACATGGGTGGTTTTTCCTACTATTGGTTGGGGAAATAATAGCCATTTGTCGCTCTTCTGTTGACTTTTCCTACAACAATGTTCAGTAAGTTTTGTACACAAAAAGTAGGAGCCAAGTCTGATGTTGGTATAGCCGACTGTTTGGTCTAGCGGTGTTCGGTGTAGCGACGTTGCACTGTACATGTAACTTGGGACTGGATGACTTGTGATGGACTTGTTGGGACTAGACCATGACTCTGACAATGAGGTGGATATTGAAGTCTGTTTAATAAACACAGGGAAATTCTCACAGTAAATACTGAAGTTACATGTACTTCGAGGGTCTGGCATAGCAAAGTTTGTTATCATACAAATGTACATGTACATGTAACATTAAACTGTGCTTTTGCAATGAAAGAAACTCCCATAATAGGCCCATCCATGAATCCCCAGCGTATGGCCAACAGGTGGGCCTCTCCAAAGCCACACTTTATATTAAGAGTCTGCTCGCCACAGGCATCATACATTGTACATAGGTGCACACAAACCAGACTTTGTTGGACATGATTGGTGAACACATCACGATACAGGGCTTAATCCTAACTCTCTTCATCACTATTTGCCTAGAAATTCTGCTCAACACTAGTTTAAGGATCAGACATTCACGTGTGCAGAGCCCTACAAACATCTGATATATCTGAGCATGCAAAGTTAATGCAACCCCTCGCCAGCCAATTGAAGTCGACTTTAGAAATTAAGATGTTGTTTCGATCAGAAATGTGGACTAAGCTGTTGATTGGTCAATTTGGCTGTCATTTTGTAAAACAACAACAGATTACCAAAGAACCGATAGAAGGAACCTGCTGAATGGTCAGAATCTCGACGTCAAGACGTATTCTTGTTTTGAACAACCCTAACCCTCCTCACTCCTCCAAAATCCTCCTAGCAGTTTCGGAAGATTCTAGAGGATTGAGGATGAATGGTGATTGAATCACATGATGATTTTGGAGTATTGAGGATGAATGGTGATTGAAGCATACATGTAGGAGGATTTTGGAAGATTGAGGATGAATGGTGTTTGAAGCTGAGGATGATTTTGGAGGATTGAGGATGAATGCATTTTGAGGCAGGACTGTCTGATGATTTTAAAGGATTTAGGCGTTGGTTATCTTCATTTAAACATGAGTGCAAAATTTTGGGATGAGGAGGATTTGGGAGGATTGACGATGATTTCATTTTGAGGCAAGTCTGTCTGAAAATTTTGAAGAATTTAGGTGCTGTTGCAAAATTTCAGAGGATTATGGAGGATGAGGATGGCTCTTAGGAAAAAGGGCCTAGGGGGTTAGGGTTCCCAAATCTGTGCGAATATCATAGTCTTGTGTGCAAGCACCTATTCCATGGACTAGTTCAACACATCAGCAATAAAAATCCAACAAGTTGAAATCATGAAGAATGCAACAAGACCAACAGAAAGACCAAAAGATCTTTACTTGTCTGCCTGGTGCAACAGAGCCCCACAGACATATACTCCTGTTACATGTTGTTGTGTTTGGCATGGTTAAACTAAAATGAGTCAGTCTATTCCGAGATGGAACCTGCCTGTTTTGTTGCAGCGTCTGCGTCATTTCTCGGATCCTCTGCTCCCTGTACTGCTTGAGGAACTCCTGGTCAATGCCTAACATCATCATCTCGTCTTCTTCTGCTTTTTCATCTTCCTTCGCTTTCTCATCGTCGAGCTACAAACAGAGATAAACCCCAAAGACCAGGCAGTGCATATTACATGTACAAGACATCTTACAACTTGGCTTCCACAAAGGCAAGTGACAATGTCGTAGTCTGGTACATCATAACTCCATCACTGGTCAAGTCACAAGTAAATAACAAGTCCAGTCACAACTTACAGGGAATGAACGATATCAAAGGAATTCTTTAGTCATGGCTGATTTTAATAGTTTGTGGGCTAAATTGGGACTGGATGACTTGTGTCAAACTCTTTGGCAAGAGCACTTAGAATGCCATCAACTTACATAAGATCTGCAGGTAAGGGCAAGATGCTTAGCAAGAGCCAACCGTTCAACTTCTTTTTCTTGTCTCTTCTCTGTCTCCAATTGCTTGAATCTCCTCCAATCTTCTATCACACCCTTGGGACCAGTCTGCCAAAAATTAAAAAGCATCACTGATTACAGATGTAGAGAGGGTTAAATTTACAGCTCTCAATTGTGTAAGTTCACCTCAGTACCATCATCTTATCCTTGGTCTCTACTGATGTTGAGGTGGCGTAGATGGCAGTTTTGGGGGTGGCATGTGATGGTGTTGGTGGGCAATAACATTTTTTTCTGATGTGATGGCAAATAGGCATTCCTAGGACTGTACTATCGCCAGATCACATCCAAATGTTACAATGAGGCTGTTCATGAAGTCCTACAGCTGTAGTTACTTGGTCTTGACGTATATGCCATAAACTGACTTGCACACCCCCTTCCATTGTCTCCTTGTAGATTGCAGTTCTTGGGTTGCAATGTGATGGTTTCGGTGGGCAATGATTTTTTCTTGACATCTTGGCATAGACCTTCCTTTAAATTCCTAGGACTCCACTAGGACAGCCCTAAAGGACGTGAAGATCCAACGAAGGCCACAAAATTGGGTCCTTTAATCCAAGGACAGGTACATTTACTTACATGTGTAGCAGCGCCTCCCTTGAATTCCTCCTCCGCTGGCTCAACTACAGGTCCCTTGATTGTCTTGGCTCTCCCATCATCATCACTTGCATCGTCGTCTGCATCTTCCTCATCACTACTGTAGTAATATTGGTCCTTCTCTCCCAGAATACGATCATCAAACCTGTCAGCCATGCTTTAGATTCTGCAAAGAGAGAGAGGTTAAGATCTGAACATAAATGCACTTTCATCTACAAGTATAATCCCATTCACAATTCCAATCGCACATGCGTGAGATCTGCTTGCTGAGAGATACAGTGTAAACAAAGCAGATGAATGCTGAATGAATTTATAAAAAAAAGGGAAGAAATAAGAATGTTGCAACCTGACGCTGCATTTTTGTTCATATGGGGGCCTATCATCTCAATGAAGGTCCGTCAATGCAAAAATAAATGAGACGTGAATCTGGGACGAGAAACATTTCCAATTTTGTAAGGAATACTATATGGCGATCGTGTATCTACAGGCCCAGTTCCTATGGGAACAAAATCCACTTTTAAATTATTTGACCAACCAAACTAGCTTGCGACATTAAGAACATAAAAGGTAGGCCCTATGTCCATGGAGCTACCACCCAGCGTTTTACGAGCGCGGCGTGGGAGCTAGTTTCATTGATCTGCTAGCCGTTGCAACTCTTTGTGTGCTCTCCATGCTATCATGGCTATGTCATAGATAAAGCCAGGGCAGGGTTTTGAATTTTTGAGGGAAATTTGGGGGTAAAATGACGATGACAACGACAAAACGCAACACGAAAATAAAGATGGAGATCACCGTGCGATGTACATGTAACATGTGTACCGTGAGCACGCAAGTCGTGCTGCAAGGCACCAACCGGCACGTAAACGTACGAAAATCATAACTTTTACCCCAAGAAACTGTTCACAAATTACCAAAAAAGGGTGATCGTGTGTAGCGCCCCTGTTTTGTTTTGATCAAATTAGAGTCAAAAATGTTTTTTACTGCTCAAAAATCAAAGTTGCAATCAAAAGCAGACTTTTCTCAATTCTAATGCCACCCGTTTTGCAATTTTGAACAGTTTTTTTTGGGAAGAAATCACGATTTTCCTGCACGGTTTGTGCCTTGCGATTCAGCTCGCCGTGTGTGGTCACGGTACATCGAGCGGTGATCGCCATCTTTATTTTCGGGTTGCATGTTGTCACCGCGCTGTCATCATTATTTTACCCCCAAATTTCTCTCAAAAAATTAAAAACCTGCCCTCGATTTATGACATTCCCGTTTATTGAGAATGTCGCTAACTAGTTTGGTCGGTCTTATAAAAAAGTAATAATTTAAAGTGGATTTGATAACCGAGCACCCAACACTACACGATCGCCCAACATTGCCCAAAAACCTCATTAGTTTACATCATAGTACCTTGAGCATGTTGAGAGAAGTCTGCTTTAGGTTGACGGGGCCGTATCATACGTCCGACGCCTCATAAGTCTGAAATTTCGGACTTATGAGGCATCCGACTTATGAGGAATAAAATTTATTTATCCCGCCTCATACTAGTCCAACGCCTCATAAGTCCGACAACGGAAAAACGAGGTGTTTAATTTGTCGGACTTACGAGGCGTCGGAGCTATGAGGCGTCGGACCAATGAGGCGTCGGACTTATACGAGTACAGGAGCATAGATCATTTTCTTCCTTCCTTCCTTCCTTACAAGTGCAGATTTCATGGCTGAAGATAATCGCACTGCCAGAAACGCCAGGGCGAACCCCTTCTCTTAGCGGTAAGTGTACTGGGTTCTTTAACGTGCATTACACAGCACACGGGACCTACGGCTTTACGTCCCATCCGAAGGACGAAGCAATAATGGTTAAGTGCCTTGCTTAAGGGCACAAGTGTCCGCCTGGGCTCGAACCCACGCAAAATTCTTAAATTTCTTTCCTCGTTATGTGAATTATTTTCCCTTTAACCGCTATACCATTTCTTTAACATAATTATGCCGTGCAATGTTTGTTAAGATTGCGCAAACTTCAAAAATTGCGCACGTGATATTCCCACGCAATCTTAAAGAATGAGCGCTCATTCTTCAGATTACCTGCTCATTCTTAAGAATGCGTGCTCGTTCTTAAGAATGCGCGCTCATTCTTAAGATTGCGTGATTTGCAAGAAAGCGCACAACAGAGTCAGGTTGCAACTAGTCCGACTGCATCTGGCTGTACAGTACTATCGCAAGCTCTGTAGTATGGCCAGACCGCCAATGCTCCCCTACACGCTGAACTCTGATGTACAGCGATTTTGCTACCGATTTTGATCGAGATTATCTTCTCATCCAAGACAGACATTTCCAAAGTTAAGGTTCCTAGTCGTAGAGGAACTCATACCTTTTCAAAAAAAGTTCTTTATTCAAAAATCTAAAATAAAAATAAAATAAAAATAAAATAAAAATAAAGGACGACTTTCAGTCATCATCTTCCACGAATATCGTCCCGAAAATGTTCCTCCATGCGATTTCAAAATGGCAGCCGCATTGTAATGTATGCATTACGCAGGCGCGCTTTGGCAAGGTTATGAATATGCATTATTCAGTTCATGACCTCGTGCTTGTATGGCCAGCTGCGCTGTGCGCCCGACAAACGTCATGAACTGCAATGCATATTCATAATCTTGCCCAAGCGCAACAGCATAATGCATACATTACAACACGGCCGCCATTTTGAAATCACATGGAGGAACAATTCGGGACGATATTTGTGAGAGATGATGACTGAAAGTCGTCTTTTGGCCAGATGGATGAAGATTTTGGGATAAAAGAACGTTTTTTTCGAAAAGGTATGAGTTCCTCTACGACTAGGAACCTTAACTTTGGAAATGTCTGTCAAGTGTCATGTCTGTCCTGGATGAGAAGATAATCTCGATCCAAATCAGTAGCACTAGCAAAATCGCTACATTAGAGTTCAGCGTTTTAGGGGAGCATTGGCTGTCTGGCCGTATGGCCAGATGCAGTCGGGCTAGGTTGCAACATTCTTTCCAAAGCTATTATAGTCCATAATTTGTAATTAGTGCATTTTGTTCGTTTGAAGCAACAAAAGGGTTCAAAATCTAATGAAGGATACTGAACAACTAACCTGATGAAGTTTCAGCTAAGCTTCAGCTGTACATATCGAGAAAAACAGCATTCTAAGATCTCAATTTCAAATCAAAAGTTACTGAATCATGTTTTGAATTGTTTTGAATTGCAGCCATACGCGACGCAGCGCACTGATCCGACGAATTATAACAATCGCGCACGCGCGTGCGTCGTTCCAAAACTTGTGCGCGCTGCGCTGAATAACAAAACGAACTACTAATTTAAATTTTCCTATGGTGCTTCTTAAGAATCACAGTTGGAAATGCCATCTTTCGTTGATTACTTCAAAATGACAGCTTCCCAGAAGGAATAATTTCACAGGGAGTTTAGTTCCCTTACTATCTTTCAACCAAGTTTGTTTTTCAACTTAATTACGCCAGTTACTTTTCGGATGGCTGCAAATGATGGACTATAGCTTTAAACAATAACATTAACAATAGGCAGTGTATATTTTGCCGGAGACGGCAAACCTTGAGTAAACGTTAGTTTGCCGGACAGGCACTGAACATGCGCAGTTACTGGTTTTTTGTACTTAAACATTTTCCGGTGACAAATTTTAGTCTGGCTCCATGCCAAAATTATCGTTGTAACCTCGTATTCACAAGATGGGATTCAGACCATTTTATAATTTCGGACTTTATTTCCCTTTAAAAAAAATCCTCCAGAGCCACAAATCTGAAAAAGAAAATGTAATACTCTGCAAAAAAATGTTTGAGACATGTTAAAATAATAAAAGAAGAATATTCTTATTTATTTGGGGATGAGAAAAAAAAAACTTTAAAATGTGCTGCGGTCGGAAGCGAACCCGAGTCATCCAGCTTACCAGAGCCTTTGCTTAACCACTACACCAACATGACCAAACTAGTCCGAGTAACTTGGACCCAACTTATCGCCTTTTTTAACATTTGGACATGGTCTGGCGATCGCCAGACCATGTCCAAATGTTAAAAAGGCGATAAGTTGGGTCCAAGTTACTGGGACATTTTTTGTCGGACTAACAGTAACACCAAACGTGCTACACAACTCTTGGAGGGAATTTAATACATCTTATAATTCAGCCCTATCTTAAAGAGTACAGCGCCCTCTGTTGATATGGATTGCCGCCGGCAAACCTTTAGTAAACGTTAGTTTGCCATCATTACCTCCGGCAAAATATCCACTATCTTAACAATAACATGCAAAGCTAAATCCTCCACATCTCCAGACAGTGCCCAGGTGCCAGACCAGCATGACCAGAGTACGATCAGAAAAGGAAAATGTAGCTCCTCTAAGTACATCAATATGTCATCACTACCAAACATTAGCCTAACATTGCCTACCTTATGAGATTTGAATGAAAAGACCTGCAAAGAACAATGTGCTTCATTCGATTTCAGTTATCGTGTTTTAGTTTACCGAGTGATAATGCATTTTCAACAAGGAAGCGGCCATGTTTTGGATTCCAACACAAGGTGGCGCTATATCGAAAGATCGGCGATACCATAGACATGTCTATGGGCGATACAGCGAGCTGTTTACGTTTAAGGTGCATACATCTCTGTATAATCACCAGGAGTGCATTATACCTTCCTCTATGATTATACCCAATAAATTATGTCCTTGCGGCCTATAATTGATTGATTGTAGAAATATTTATGTAAATCAAGTATTTGTGACCCAACTTGTGGGCCTATTTCGCATATCAGGCGGGGGTTACACGGGACCTGGACCATTGGCAACCGTCTTGGGGACATGGGCGTCGCCAGGATTTTTTCTAGAGGGGGGCAAAACATATTTTTGCCAAAAAATGCCTGTATTTCTCCAACACATTCTCGATTCATCAGTTTTAGAGGGGGGCAGGGACATTTCCCCTTTCCCAACATTAAATTTACCCCACTATGACTTCGCGCCTCTTTTTCTTTTCTTTTTTTCTCTTTTTTTTTCTTCCTTTGTTTGTTTTTGTTTTTTGGTTTTCCGGGGGGCAAGTGCCAAAGCATCTTTAATCAAAATTCTGTAACATGTACATGTAATATCATTATGCCAGATCACTAATCAGCTAATGTACAGTACGTGTGTACTTTGAAAGTACATGTACACACGTACATTAGTGATCTGAAATAATACTTGTACGGTAAAGAAAGCTCATTGATTTGGCTTTCATATCCTAAATTTTGAAAGTTTTACAGGCAAAACTTCATTTAAAAATTGGACCCGTCATTTGGTTTTTTTGTTACTGACCCTGTAATATGTTTCCTGACCTTTGGAGTAAAAAGCGGTACCTAAACCCCCAAATTATATTTCATATTTAAAAAATACACTCATGCATAGCACTAAAAATGACTGGAAAGCCAATTTCCTAAGCTACTTTTAGATGAAAAAAAACCTGAAATTGCTCAATTCGTCCAAACATTTTCATCATTTTTGCCCCCCCCCCCCCCGAAAAAAAGGTGTTCTGGCTTTTGTTTCTTTTCTTGTAAATATATTTTCAATAAGAAAGTTTCGATATTTAATGGCAATTCGTGAATTCCGTGTTGAGTTTTATTCAAGATAGAAAGAAATGGACACAGTACAGACAATGACAATTCAATCTCTTTTTTGAATTTGTTGTGGCTCTTAAAAGAGCCGGTTGTTTTTGTTGAGCCGATGATTCAGCGTCTATTTGGCAGCCTTGGCGGTCTTCTTGGGCAGCAGAACGGCCTGGATGTTGGGCAATACACCACCTTGGGCGATGGTGACACCGCTGAGAAGCTTGTTCAACTCTTCGTCGTTGCGGATGGCCAACTGCAAGTGACGGGGGTTGATTCTTGTCTTCTTGTTGTCGCGGGCAGCGTTGCCGGCCAACTCGAGGATCTCAGCGGCCAAGTACTCCATGACGGCGGCCAGGTAGACCGGGGCACCGGCTCCCACACGGGCAGCATAGTTGCCCTTGCGCAGGAAACGGTGAACACGGCCCACGGGGAACTGCAGACCAGCTCTGGATGATCGACTCTTGCCCTTGGCGCGCGCCTTTCCTCCCTTTCCACGTCCAGACATATTGATGATTGGTTTCTTCAGTGATTCTTGCAAAGAAAATTGAAAATTTGCGCCTTCAGTACGACCATTTATACGTTTCTGATGGATTCCATCCAACCAATCACAACACTGTCCAATAGAACTAATTGATCGATTCACCTGTTGCTAAAAGTTGATTCATTCGACGTCCGCATACACTTCCCGAAGGTCAGCGGGTGGGGAAATGTTAGTGTCGTGCGCAACACGTATCCAATCAACACACGTAATTGTGCGCGGCAAATTTTAGCGGGTATTGCAGGTGGTACAGTCTAGAATCCAAATTTGCATACACGAAGGTATAAATTGTCAGGGAATTCTTTCAACAATATTCGATTTTCTTTCAGTTCGCTAGAAAATAGAAACTCATCATGCCTCCCAAGCCAAGCGGAAAGGGACAGAAGAAGGCCGGTAAAGCCAAGGGTGCACCAAGCACCAACAAGAAGAGAAAGCGCAAGAGAAAGGAGAGCTATGGCATCTACATCTACAAGGTGATGAAGCAGGTGCACCCCGACACCGGCATCTCAAGCAAGGCCATGAGCATCATGAACAGCTTCGTCAATGACATCTTCGAGCGTATTGCCGCCGAGGCTTCCCGCCTGGCCCACTACAACAAGAAGTCCACCATCACCAGCCGTGAGGTGCAGACCGCTGTCCGTCTCCTCCTGCCCGGTGAGCTGGCCAAGCACGCTGTCAGCGAAGGCACCAAGGCCGTCACCAAGTACACCACCTCCAAATAGACGGTGTACTGAAAACCATCAAACCAACCGGCTCTTTTCAGAGCCACCACATTTTCAAAAAAGAGATTAGAAATTCATGTCTGCTTCCGTTTCTTTGCTAAAGCTATGTCTGTTTTTCCTTTTCTATGTCATTGGTGATCAAGGATGGATACGCACAATATTTTCATTGCGTTAGAATTTCAGGGACCGAACACTACAGTCTTTTTAGTTTTGTAGATGATTATACATGTATTCATTGAATACGAATAAATGTCTCGAAGTAATAGAAAACATTAAATAAATGTACGTACATACATTTTAGTTTGTAGTTGTACTTGTAAATTGCAGAATTAAAAAAGGGCCTCCTATATGAGGCTTGTAACATGGCTCGTTCTAGCATACTTTCTATAAACAAAATCTCTTTTTGAAAAAAAACCCGGGGCATCAACTAGTGTATTTTTTTGTTATTGGCCTCATAATCGCACAACTGCATGAAAGACCAACACAAGTGAGAACGTATGATTATCTTTGGAAAAATATTGTAGTTGTACAACGGCTGGACATTTTCTATGAATGTCCACTTCGCCCCATTTCCACGTCGCCCCATGTCACTTCGCCCCAAACCACTTCGCCCCCATCCCCACTTCGCCCCATTCCCACATCGCCCATCCCCACTTCGCCCCATCCCCACTTCGCCCCATCCCCACATCGCCCCAGCCGTTACATGTAAAAAAAAAGAAAATCTCATCTATTTTTTTGGCTTAAAAACAATAATTTCAACAGATTCACTAATTGCTAACCAACGGAAAGAATTAGCCCATCACCAAATGAACAATTCATAACCAACCTCTCAAGCTAGGCTCTCCCCTACCGAGAAAAAAGCTTGAAGTAAAAGATCCAACTTTGTTCCCAACCCGGCTATACCATGGAGCTATAGCTCCATGGCTATACCAACCCGTCTCCCACTTATCTGAGAATGACAATACCTTTGACATCCTAATTTCACTCTTGGAGGAACCAATCTCATCTTAATGAAGTTGTAAGTGTCACATATTTTGACGGAACATTTTCCTCGAGGCAGTGAGTTCCTTTTAACTCACTGACCCATACCTACGGGGAGTACGGATTCTTTTGAATCCAGCGGCTGATGATTTTATTCACAAGCCAATAGGAGAGGCGTCTCTGAATGGGATCACTCATCTCTCATCTGTGTCTCTAGCACCACATCAGAGAGTTTGTATTTTTCCTGAGTTTCTAGAATTGGGAGCATTTATTATCTGGGGTCTTTGGCAGTTTATTTGGTCTGCACCCCTAGACTAGCCTTCACCTTTTTCATACTACATGGGGCGAAGTGGGGATGGGGCGAAGTGGGGATGGGGCGAAGCGGGGATGGGGCGAAGTGGGGATGGGGCGAAGCGAAGATGGGGCGAAGTGGGGATGGGGCGAAGCGAAGATGGGGCGAAGTGGGGATGGGGCGAAGCGAAGATGGGGCGAAGTGGGGATGGGGCGAAGCGAAGATGGGGCGATGTGGGGATGGGGCGAAGTGGGGATGGGGCGAAGTGGTTAGGGGCGAAGTGACATGGGGCGACGTGGAAATGGGGCGAAGCGTCCGACACCCTTTTCTATCATGAGCCATGCAGCATGCACCTGTGGCTCAGATAGTTCGGAATTCCGACATTATAACGTCAAATTCATAAAAGCAGACGGTCCGTGATGAAACCAACCAATGGCGTATTTATTTGCCGGGAACTGGCTCATTTCATTGGCTGAGATACTATCATCACTGTTTATCATCTAAGAATGTTCAAATTACTGGCGGCAGCGCAGGTCCTCATCAAAGGTGGCCTACAGCTAGCTGAACCCGAATGTATATACTTTGTAACGAACATGAGTGGCATTGTATCAATTTGAACAATGCCGCTGTCAATCATTCTCCGGAAAGGCTTTTTCGGAGCTTGATTTTATTCGGCATTTTTTTTAATTCAAAGACCGGGGAAAAGTTTATAACGAAAAGTTAGGGAAACTGGAATAAACATGGAAATTCACCCCTGTAAAGGGCCTGTATCGTGTTCATGTACATCAAAATTGAACAGAAAATCAAAGATGATGAAATGAGCAAAAAGTTGATGTGCCAGGGTGTCTCGAACACCTCATCAGAGAGTTTGTATTTTTCCTGATTTTCTAGAATTGGGAGCATTTATTATCGGGATTTCTTTGGCTGTTTTAATATTTACTGATCTGCACCCCTAGCCTTCACCTTTGTACATGGGGCGAAGTAGATATGGGGCGAAGCGGGGATGGGGCGAAATGGGGATGGGGCGAAGTGGTTAGGGGCAAAGTGACATGGGGCGAAGCGTCCGACACCCCATGCTCATTGATGCAAAATTGTTGAAAGTACAATGTACATTATATTCATAAACTTTTTATTTGCAGAAAATACATTGCTCCTTCATTTGAATGATGGCTACCATTCATTTACGTATAACTGCAGTACCGGTCCAATTATGTTCCAACAATGAAACAATTGTAGAGTGGAAGTTACCAAGCCTTATAATATAGGTCTTCCCGTCCAATTTTGCACTTAGTGCATGCAAAAGTAAAGATAGGTCATTCAATTTCGCACATAGTGCATGAGAAAGTATAAATAGGTCATTCAATTTCGCGGATAGGGCAGCCAAAATCACCAATCGGCATTTAAATTCGCTATGGGGCAGCCGAAATGGCCAATCGGCATTCAAATTCGCTACAGTGCAGCCAAAATGGCCAATTGGCATTCATAATCGCGTTAGGGCAACCAAATTCGCCAATCGGCATACGAATTCGTACATAGTGCAACCAAGTTCGCCCTTGAAACCCCCTCGAGCTAAGTTGGAGCATTCTATTTCGCCATAGGGCATCCAATTATACAATTTGTACATCCAATTTAGCACATGTAATTTTTTTCTATTTTTTTTTTTTATAGCTTTCTCATGTTTATGTCTTCTTCCACTTTATGAGCTTGCTTTGTCTATATTAAGTCGCCGAATACAAATCATATTTATCGGATGGCCCAAAGGCATATGAATCAACAGAGGGAAAATGTCCTTACATTTCCCTCTGTTAATTCATATGTTTTTTGTTTAATCTTTGTAAATTTTCCTTCTTAATCTATATTTTCTTGTGGTCATTTGCACCATCTCTTTAATTATATGCATTGACTAGAGACATAAATCATAGCATGTATACAATATCATGATTTTCTTCTTTCATATTGCATATATGTACTTTTTGTGTTTTTTTATCTTGTATCTGTTTTCATATGACTTTAATCATTTAAAACAATCTTTCATCACAACTTAAGACATCGATTACGGTTTTCTTCCCTTATAATAATTCTTTGTTGAACCTTTTATAATCTTTTAAAAACATAATTATAACTAAATGTATATACCTCATATGATATCGCAACTGCAGATGGTTATATTTACTGATCTTTGGTAGGAAATTTACATGTTAAAGTTCAAAGCTCAAAACTCAGTCATTTTTTTCAGCCATTGATGTTAATTGCGTAATGTCTGCCAATGTAAATTCTCAAGCTGCTGATAATTATATGTGGAAAGCAAAAGGTGAAATGCAAAGAATGCATTACCAAAGGAGATGAAAGAAATATATATACAATTTGCGCCAAGGCGCTGGTGAGGAACAAAATAACTTGCTCAATAAGCAGGCCAATGCTTGTATAATTTACATTTTTACCTCTAGGAGACAAAACAAATACAACTATCGAAGCCCAGGCATCTGTAAAAAAATAATGTAAATTGTCCAGTGAAGTTTTATGAATGGTCATTGGTGGCACACATATTGCAGGTTGGGAAAAACGCGCAAAGAATATTTGAATATGTATTACTGTATACAAGTCATGTAAATACAGTGCTAAATTGAATGCACTAGTTATGAACATGAATACCCTATAGCGAAATTGAATGCTCTATCTTTAGTCACGTGTCCTTCCGTGCTAACTTGAATGCACTATGGCGAATCTGAATGCTGTTTTACACTTTTGATTGCTCTATGGCGAATCTGAATGCCCATTATGAATTTTTGGCTGCCGTATGGTGATTCTGAATGACTGTTTTTCTTTTTTGACTGCCCTATGGCGATTTTGAATGACTACTTTGAATTTTTGATTGCCCTATAGCAAAATTGAATAAACTATTTATACTCTTGCATGCACTAAGTGCAAAATTGGACGGGAAAACCTATAATAATAAAAAAAAGTCTCCGGTTTCTGGTATGCGCGCGCGTCGCCGTAGCCATGCGCGTCGGCAAAATGATAAAGTTTTTTTTTTCAATGAAAGATGATATCTCAAAACCGCCAAACTCACTGATTTGACTGGAATCCTGCTGCTGCACCATTTTAACTTGTTTCTGGATGGGGTTATATGATCGAGAATAAGCTTTATGTGGCCTCTCTGGACTCCCATATATTTGCACTAAGTTTAGTTGGGCACCATTTGCAGTCATCAGCCGACATTTGAGGCAAAAAAAAAAATCAGGTAAAAAAAAAAAAGTCACCGTGGGATTTCATTGAAAATCTAAACTACAAAATTTTTTTTGGGGGGGGGGGGCACAAACCTCCTTACTCGTCCAAGCTTCCAACAAAGAACACACGGTTCATAATAATGTGCATGTTATAAACGTAAACAAAGCAATGGTTTATCCGATATCAAGCATGCAATATTGAGAAACAAACAACACATGTACATGTTCATTGTATTTACATTGTATTTACATTACATTGTTTGCTCAGTAAATTCAAAATTGGTGGCTGATGGGTCATTCAAGGGAAAAATTACTGATGGCCAGATATGGGAATCTTTCCAAAATGTAAATCATAAAAACCTAAAAAGTACATTAAAACAGATGGGCAGACACACATTACATGTATATTGCAATCTACATGTACAGTACATGAGAAAATATCTCCTTCAATTACGAAATGCGTACACAGACGAATATTAAATAAACTAACGGTCTTAAAAATCTTTACGTAGGCTGGTTGCAGGTACATGTGCCAAGGAATCATACATGTATTTTATAGCAGAGCCTAGTACTAGTGCTAGAGGTCCATTTCAAAATGTGCAATACATCATGTATAGAGGACGTTTTGCACCACTATCTGCGGAAGTGTTCTCACTTGAACTACAAATTCAAAAAAGGGATAAAACAGATAACACAAAAATTACAAGGTAACAAAAAAGTAGCCGCTTGTTTTAGCAACAGGCATGCAACCTTCAGCTGATTTCCCCTATTATTACTTCCCGTGTGTGCAACAACAATAGAAACACTCCTACAAAGTCTTGGAAAATTAAAATTTCCTTTTTTTGTGTGTGACTTCACAGTTGCATGCCTGTAGCAACCTAACATGTAGCAAATGTTTAATGTTTGAGTGAGTACATCTGTTTTTGTTTGGAAGAATACCTGTACAATGTATTGTGAAATTGCTGGAAAAACTGTTTGATGCCTGTAGTGGCAAAATTAATCCATGTTGAAGACTGGGGGATTGATTGGCCCTCCTCCCCAAAATAGAGACTTTCCCAGAGGCTGCAAATTCGAAAATCTGGGGGGGGGGGGGGGGGGGGGGGGGGGAATGGACACCATTCGACACTAGGTGGCGCTGTTCTGTAAACTGCATAAAGGCAAATCTGCGACATTAGTGGCACTGTTTTATGAGCACTTTACAAATGTTACTTTTTTTCGGATTGGCTACAACAATTTTTTTTAAAAATGTTCAACACCAAAATCATGGGGGGTGGGGTTTCAATAGCCCCCCCCCCCCCCCCCCCGGATTTACGTCCTTGAATGTCTGACGGTAATTTCAACCTTTTTTTCAGTCTGAGTCACCCTATACATGTACATTTTTTGTTCAAACAGTGTTTGAGATGCCAACAATAGCTTATTATAAGCCATTGTTAATGCCTCCATTCAGACTACAAAAGGAAATCCTATTATCCGACATCAAGGGTCAAACGACTGGATATGCCCGCATGATCTTCACTTCCTCAGTTGGTCTATCCTCTGTGTTCGTGTCCACCATTCCCATGCGCTTCACCACCCCAAGTCCCTCCGCAACACGGCCAAAGATGGCATGTTTACCATCCAGCTCCTGGCAGGGAGCCAGCGTAATGAAGAACTGACTGCCGTTAGTGTTGGGACCAGCATTGGCCATGGACAGGACACCAGCTCCAGAGTGGACAAGATCACGATGGATCTCGTCTGGAAATGTCCGGCCGTAGATTGATGCCCCTCCACGCCCTGTGTCAAGTAAAACGAAATTATGTTTGTGTTTATACAAAATATGTACATCTCCCAACCACAAAATGCCATCAAACAAAATAATACATGTACATTGTAGTTGAGAGATTAGACTTGATCTGAGATTAGTATCTCCACCATGCAAAGCCTCAAATCTTACTTAGATTAGACTTGCATATATAGAGCTCAGCATGCAAACAGCTTACCTGTGCCCGTTGGATCACCGCCTTGCACCATAAAGTTTGGAATGATGCGATGGAATATGACACCATTATAGTAGCCTCGTCTGGCCAGCTCCACAAAGTTTTTGCAGGTTTTAGGGGCGTGCAACCAGTACATTTCCACTTTTATATTGCCCATGCTACAAAAGAAATGCAAATAAAGATTTTGATGGTTTCATAAAAATTAGTTACAAGTTGTTTGGGTGTTTTAGCACAGAAAATATAAACTTTGCACACTCTATCATGAGGTGCCACGTGATTGGCCCATCTGACGTCACCCTCGATATGCACTATAGACGGTGTCTGTGGGCGGTTCCCAAACCAAAAGACTCTGACTATTTTGACGTCACACCAACAACGCTTCGCGTGCCTGTTAAAACATTAAAACTCAAACTGTAGCTTCGCTACGGAAATGGGACTGTTTTCATCATTTTTTGTGCACCATCGGGATCGATTCAACCCTTAAGCGAACAGAACGTATGTCAAGAAATACTGGGCATAGTCTTGGGGTAAAATATACAGCTGCCGCTCCAAAACTCACTTCCATATTATTCGTAGAGTATACAGCATGTTCGCGTTGCGTTGATATGCCTACCTATGGGGGCACAATTGCAGAATACCCTGCCACTCGATCTATGCACCTCATAGCCCCATAAATGTGGCCAATTTACTGGACTACCTCCATAAATAAAGGCCACACTTCCACCATGTACAAAAAAATTTCGAACTTTGTCAAATTTTGATTTTCACATTTAGGCTTAGTTTGTAGTTTATTTTGCTTTAGACGCATACTCACCCTCTTTATAGCTTAACCCTTACCCTACTAGACCCTCCAACGTATGCCAATATGTGCCTCAAGAAAATCTCCTATGTTTTTTGCATGGCCCTCCAATATCTGCCATGTCATTTCAAGGGTAACTGGACAGGCACTCCAATACATGCCACAGAGAACAATGAGAGTCCTCTGATAACAAAGTGAGTGCCCCCAGCTGGTCAGTATCAGGCACCCTCCAGGGCCTCCAACTCCTGCCAATTGGAGCCTTCACTGTCAAGATAGTTTATCTGCCAATATACTGCAGCTGGAGGGCATTGGCATAACCAACTGACATGCAGTAAACTACCCTCAGAGAGTAAGGGTTAATCAAAAAGTGCTGCCCTTTTCAGATATCTATTTTTCGTGAAATTTCCAGATTCGTTTGCACACGTTTGCGTATCAAAATTTCAACATGAAATTTCACGAAAATTAGATATCTGAAAAGGGCAGCACTTTCTGATCAGCCTATAAAGAGGGTGAGTATGCTTTTAAAGCAAAAATAAACTACAAAATTTGACAAAGTTCGACATGTATACATTAGCACATGGTGGAAGTGTGGCCTTTATTTACAGAGGTACATGTAGTCCAGTAAATTGGCCACATTTATGGGGCTATGCACCTCGTAGCCGGCTACGGAGTCACGGTTGATTGCCCTTATAATAACCGTCTCAGCGCTACATGTACTGTGTCATGTTCCACTGCACTCCCACTCCGTATCCGCATAGCCGGCAACAGGGTACATGTACATGTAGTTGGTTTGGAATTTTGTCAGCAACTCCCATCCATTTTGTGTTGCTTCATTCTCAAGCCTTCAAGGGACCCTAGTCCGAGTAACTTGGACCCAACTTATCGCCTTTTTAACATTCGGACATGGTCTGGCGATAGTGGGGTCCAAGCTAATCCTTATATGCCGAGCAACACAATTCTGTCATTGACCCAAAAACCCAACATTGCCCAACAAAAACATCAGATTTCACCCTCAAAACGGCCTCCAAATTACTGGATACGCCACCTGAGGTACAAGTAGACATCGATAATTAAGATGGTTGTACTGAAGTTTACTTACGATCCGGATGAAAAGTAAAATTTCCTATTCAATTCCGAGAGCTTCCCTCGCGATCGTGAACACGTTAAATTTCCGACTCGTGTTTGAATTGCGATATGGTCTTCACGCCCAGCGTTCATTCGATGGTCCCCGTATCCCGAGTGCGATTCCGTTACCGAGCGCGTGCAATGCAACCCAGCGCGCGATGCGTCGATTATGATAATGAGTAGACTGGATCACGTTGGTATACACAAATGCATTTCGAACGATAAAAGGGAGTTGGGAATTAGCTTGAACGTAATCGCACTCGAGATACGGGGACCATCGAATGAACGCTGGGCATGAAGACCACAGCGCAATTCAAACGCGAGTCGGAAATTTAACATGTTCACGATTGCGAGGGGAGCTCTCGGAATTGAACAGGAAATTTCACTTTTCATCCGGATCGTAAGTAAACTTCATCACAACCATCTTAATTATCGATGTCTACTTGAAGTTGTATCTCAGGTGGCATATCTAGTAATTTGGAGGCCGTTTTGAGGGTGAAATCTGATGTTTTTGTTGGGCAATGTTGGGTTTTTGGGTCAATGACAGATTTGTGTTGCTCGGCATATAAGAATTAGCTTGGACCTTACTATCGCCAGACCATGTCCGAATGTTAAAAAGGCATGCCAAATCGGTGGAGCGTTTGTATGGAGGGGTACCCGTAATTCAACGCTCCACTAAGTTAGTTAATAGACCTACCTTGTGTGGAGAACGACAAATGCTGGTTCTTGGTTGGCTGAAGACATGGTGTAAAACAGAGTCTGTCTTGTTTTTACACCTCTATCATACACTGCCTTTCTGCTTTTTTTACTTAATTAATTCGTCCGCTAAATGTTCAGCTCCTTGCGCTTGATGTATGTATCCCGCACTTTTACCGCAGCCGCATGCAGCACATGCAGGAAAATTAGACACGTTGTTTTTGTAAGAATGTCGCCCTCTATTGTTATCAGTTCTTCAGGTCGCAAGGTGGCGCTATATTTTGGTCGACGCACGCGTCTCTCGTGTGTAGATTTTTTCCTTCCCCAGCAAAACTCACCCCATCCCGCATTAAAAAAGAAGAAGAAGAAACTAAGAGACAAATAGGTTTATTCATGTAATTAAAGAAAACGAATTATCAGGATCCCACACCCGAAGGGCAGAAAATATGAATTTTAGTAGCCACTGACTACCCGGTATACATGCAAATGTAAAGATGACTAGTAAAACTGGAATGGTAATACATGTATTCCTTTTGAAATTTGCTCATTGCCTTAGAATACAGGAGAAATAATCGTAGATTTCAAATTTTCCGGGGCAGCAGGCCCAAGACCCTCGGCCCTAGCAAGAAATAATAGATAAATATATAAAATCACGGCCCGGGTCGTAAGAATAGGAGTCTTGCATGATATCACTACATCAGCAGTGCTCCTTGGAAATTGGTTTAAAAAAATGGCATTTTATTGACATTTTAGGAAACAAAATAAACCATTTGTAATCGCTGAAATAAAATAAAATAAATTAAATGCACTGCCCGGGAATCGAACCCGGGTGGCAAGAATGGGAATCTTGCATGATACCACTACACCAGCAGTGCTCGCTGTTCATTCATTCTTCGCATACATCTAGGCATTTTTTGATTTTTCAGTTTGCGGGAGGAACACAATTATTGGACAGATTACAAGATAATTGTCAAAACACAAAAGCTCAAGTAGGCCATCAGCCTCGGTCCAAAATTTTGGCCACCGGTATCAAATGAGGGGAATAATCGTCGTAGCGATTTTTGGCAAGGTATACACCTCCGGAGTTGGAAAATATGTGATAGCATTGCAGCGGTGGCAGCTTTTTAAGTGTTATCACCTTTTTTTTCAAAATGCCCATCAAAATGCTTGTTACCACTCTAGGGGCGGTATACCTTGTGCATGCGCACTATAATCATTTATGCCCTGATTTGATACCGACCAAGGCTGATGGCCTAAAGGGAAAGTTAACCAACAAAATGGAGTAGCAACTTCTATATTTCCCCCTATATATCTGACATGTATTAATTCTGATGCACTCCCCTAATGTATTCTTTCTCAGCTCCCTGGTTAGTGAGTCTTATGAAGCAAACCACCTACCCTGGTACCCAGCAAATAAAACAAAGTTTGAAGTAATTTGTAATTCCTTTTAATGGCAAATTACGAAGTTCGGAAGCAAGATGGACAGAAAAATGTCACACTTTGTACCCTGACCGTTGCGCTTTCGTGGAGCTGTTCAGCCAAAATAAAAATGATGCTCATCAACAACTGGTCTATGTACATGTAATACAAAATAGACCACGGCGAACGCCATGGCCGATTATCATGCGTGAACAGATTCGCTGATTAATTAGGCAAGACCCTGCCTCTTGACCTCCTAAATGATCAGCGGGTGCTTTCTAAATAAGAACGCTGTCTCTTTGTTTTGGTCACTTCAACAATGAACACGGTCTGCAAATAGACAAACAGAAATGTAATATGATTAAGAAAGGTTGGTAATCCTCTATCTCCCCCCAAGTCTTTGGCACAAAATGTTCCTATGTGTCCTTTGGTGTGACAAAGACTGAGAACATGAATAAAGAACATTATTAACGGTTAATCTAGACAGAACATGAATCAAGAACATTATTAACGGTTAATCTAGACTAAACTGTAACACCAAAAACTGGAAACGTAAGGGTAAAGTATGATCCAATTAATAGGATCACATATCATAGTCAGAGTGCCAGGCAGGCTTGTTAGTACTGCGACCGGACCGCCTGGGTGCAGCAGCTGGGGTGTCAACTGCGGGAGGGGTAGCGGGCTTGGTACCAATGACCTGGGGAGGCAACATCGAAGGTACTGGGCCGCTGGGCCTGCTGGCTTGTGACGACTCGTCCATAGGTGGGGGCGGAGCATCAACAAGGGGCCGACGTTCTTGACTCGGAGGGTCCTGGGTCATTCTGGGCGATGTGCCAGGGTCTGTAGCATGTGCCAAGGGCAACGAGAGTCGCTGTGGAGTGGCGCCAGTTGCGGTGGGGGAGTGTGTCGACTTGGGCACTGGGTTAGCAGTCGGCTTTGGTGGACAATGAACCTCCTCGTGACTGGTCGGATTTGTCTCGTACACAATGCCTTGGCGTGGGATGATCCGGCGAACTGTCGGCTGACGCACTCCGATGTCATCATCCATTGTCAATCGTGGTGTGCGTATTTGTACGGGAATGTACCTTCTCAGGAATTTCCTATTACGCAGGGTCACTCTTCCTGAACCATCAACCCTCACAACGTATTGGTCAAACTGGCGGACTTCAACTATGATGCCAGTTTTGTCCCATTTAAGGGGGTGTGGCCCTGTCTGATTCTGGATGCGGACGTGGTCACCCACGACGAGGGGCAAGAGCCTTTTGGTGTGTTCGGACCAGCGCTCGGCACCTGTCATGTGGCGATTGCGGAGAGCTTCTTCTCGAGCCGCCAAGGTCTCACGCCAAGTGTTATGGGGCCTGTATTTGCCAGGTGGTATGGGGATGAAGTCCCGAATCGGGCGTCCAAATATGCACATTGCCGGGGAGAGTTTGGTGTCTCTGTCGGGAGTATTTCTATACTGGAGCATTGCGCGTTGGAATGCGTCAGTATCGAGGTCACCATTACTGCTGGTGTTGTCCATGATCAGACGTTTTACGGTCTTGACACCAACTTCAGCACGACAGTTGCTATGTGGATAAGCTACTGAGGAAAGGCGATGATGTACACCCCAGTCCTTCAAGAAGTGACGTGTAGCTATAGCCGTGAATTCAGGACCACCGTCAGAGGCCAGCTCATCAGGAATACCAAAGGTGACAAAGGTGCGTCGTAGGCAATTGATGAGCCCAGCTGCGCCATGGGAGGACTTCTCGACAATCGGCCAGTTGGAATAACGGTCGACCACTACCAAGTAGTTGCAGCCTTTGTAGGTAAAGAAGTCGGCACAAACACACTGGAATGGGTAGTCCGGGGGCGTCAGGGGGGTGGGTGGTGCGCTCGGATTAGAGGGTGCAATCCGATTACAATGGTTGCACCCAGCGCGAAGGGCTGCAATGGCAGGGGTGATACCAGGCCAGAAAATAGATGCCTCGGCTCTTGTGGTCATAGAGGTAACCCCTTGATGGGCAGCATGTAGATTGGCTAACACCTCCTCCCTCAGAGAGAGGGGTATAACGACACGGTCCTTGTAGAGTATCACGCCGTCAACGGTATGTAGGCTATCCCGAAACTGGAAGTACTCGCGAAGGGGTCTAGGGAGCTCATGGCGAAATTCAGGTATGCCAGATTCGATGAGGTCAACAAGGCCCTGCATGTTGTCGTCACTGGCTGTAGCGGTACGAACCCTGTCCCACGTAACAGATTTGAGGCTGAGTGAGTCTAGGGAGGACACAGCAGATGAGAAGATGCATTCTTCGATGGTGTCTGTGTGTGTTGCTGGGGTGCGCAGGCCAGCTATGAGACGTTTAGAATGTGCCAAGATGACGGGTGCGGAATCAATGGACGCTACATCGTCAGGGAGGATCAGTTTGACAGGCTCGCCAGTAGGGTGACGCGAGATACAGTCTGTGGCACGATGTCTAATGCCTGGCACATGGATCATGCGAAATCGGTATCGCAGGGTTTTCTCTTTCAAGTTCCTTAGGCGAGGGTTAGGGATGTCTTCCAGGCATCGGTCAGTGAAGATCTTCAAGAGGGGCTTGTGATCAACAGCAATTATAAGGTCTTCGCATCCCAGTACGAAGTGTCTGGCTTTATCTAGGGCATCAGCGACTGCAAGGGCTTCACCCTCCACTGGGGCATAGCGTGATTCAGCAGGGTGTGTGAATCTGCTACCGACGAGCGTGATTTTCCATCCCGAGTGACAACAGAATGGTTCCATTTTTGTGCAGGAACAGTGTTTCTGTAGTAGCCAGAAGCCAATGCCATTCTTGGACCAATCTGTTGCCAAACACGTAGGCTTGCTCGGGTCAAAGATTTGGACGCCCTCTTCGATCTCGCTGGCTATCACAGCTTTCGATTCCTCAAATGCATTTTGGAGGTTCTCATCCCACTTGAATGATGAGCTAGGTTTCAAAAGTTGCCGGAATGGCAGCATCTTCTCAGCCATGCTGAAGGCGTACGAAACTTGGTTGACAAGCCCAAACCAGGAACGTACATCAGTGATGTCCTTGGGTGTTGGGAAATCCAGGATGGCCTGTAGGTACTTCCTACAAGGCCGGACGCTGTCAGGAGTTATCTCAAACCCGGCGAATTCTACAGTGTCTTCACCAAACACAAACTTGTCAGGGTTAAGGGTGATCCCATTCCGTCCACAGGTGTCGAGCCACTGAACAGCTTGAAAGAAGCAGTCTGCTAGCGAGTCAGCCCAAAGCAGGACATCATCTACACACTTGGTTTTGTTTGGGATGTCTGACACAAACTCGTCATACCGCCTCGTGTATCCATCGCCGGAGGCAATGTACCCTTGAGGGGCCGTTTTGTAACGGTATCTACCCCAGGGTGTTATGAATGTCGTCAAGTGTCGGTCCTCCTTGCGGATGGGAACACTGTGGTAACCGTTCCATGCATCGAAGACGGTTTTCTTTTTCCCGCTTGGGACTGATCTAGCCTGGTGAAAGGGTGATGGCGTGTGGTGCGTTTCCCGCGTGGCATGAGCATTAAGAGCCTGGAAGTCGACAGTACGTCGTGGTTTGCCATTCTTCTTTGCACAAACTACCATTCTGTGGCACCAGGTGACAGGCTCGCCAATGGGAACTGGCTCAAGCACGCCCAACTGCACGTCATGGTCTAACCCAACTTTAACGGCATCCTGCCAGTGGAGTGGGACGGGTACCGGTGTGTGATGCGCAACCGGTTCGGCGTTGGGATCTACCATCAGTGTCATGGGGGGGCTGTCCATAAGAGGCAAAGTTTGATGCTCACATGTGTTAAATGTGCTCGACTTGTAGTAGTCAAGGAGATACTGTTGTAGCTTCATACGGTTAGCGTCGATTGCAGGAAACGGCAGTTTCGTTGGGGGTGGTGGGGGTCGCTGACGCCGAGGGCAATGGCAATCTGAGGTGTGGTCTTCCTGTAGGGCTGCTGTCGTGTCCAGCTTGCATGCTTTCTGAGTTACGCCCATCGAGGGGAAGCCATCCGGAATGATTCCAAGGGCGATGCAGGCCTCTTTGCTGAGGAAGAGCTTGTCAGAACTGTCCGTGACGTAAGTCATTTGCCTGGTTTCAATGACCCGGCCCCGTCCATCTTTGCCTGACAAGCGGAGTACAGTGGCCCCAAGGATCTTGATGCCTCCATTGGTGGCGGTGTGCATCCTCATGGTCACTGGGAGGAGGTCAGATTTACGTAGACCGAGGTGGTGAATGACCTTCATACCGGCGAGGCAACTCTGGCACCCTGTGTCTGCCATGGCGGGGACAGAGCAAGTCATGGTGGGAGTGGGAAGGTCAAAACCGAGGGCTGCGTAGTCTTCCGGTACAATGTTGATGGTTACATCGATGAAAGGTTGTGGCGTTGATCTTTTCCTGAGCCACGTGTTGGAGAGGTTGTCATATATGTGATGGTCTAGGGGAATGTTCAGTCCTTGGTGTGGTTTTTCCAAGTTATTGACAGTAACTAACTCGTCAAATGCACACCCATTGGGGTGTTGTACTGGATCAGAGATGGTACATAAGGCATCAAAGACAGCACCTTCACGGTCATCAGGAGGGGCGGGTGTCGAATGTTTTGGTTTGGCCTTACTGCGGCACACACTCTCCATGTGGTGGTGTTTATCACAATGCCCACACCTGTGGCCATATGCTGCACATTCGGTTTTACGAGCGCGGGCCGGGGCGTTCTTCCCATGTCCTTTCTTGCCACAGTAGGAGCATGGGTCATGTTTCTCCTTGAGGTTCACTTGCTTGGCTTTTTTGTACGTGCTGCTGGTCGCATCCACTGAGTGTGAGTCTAGTAGTGATGATGCAGACCGTTTGCCTGCCTCTTTAGCTTCAATGAATTGGAAGACTTCCTCCAGGGTCATGTCTTGGTTCTTATCGCCAAGGAGATCAAGCTGGATTTCAGGGTCTGCGATGCCTCGGGTGAGTACATCCCGTAGGATTGCTTCTGTGTAGTTAACGTCAATGTCACAGCCAGGGCATTTTATTAGGAACTTGCAAATTCCTGCTTGACCACGTAGGCGAGCTCCGAAGCTGCGCACTGTTTCATCACGATCCTGACGCATATTGTGAAGTGTCACTCTGGCAACCATAGTGTTCTCTTCACGCACAGCAAGTTTTTTTATGGCAGCCAGTACCTCAGTTTCAGATTTGTTGGTGAGGCTACCACCCGCGGATCTTGTGAGGTCCTTGCGCAAGGGTTCATCACAGCATTCAAGTAGTTGTACTACTTTGTCCTTGCCGGCTATCTTGGTGGCATCGACGTAATCTGACCACCGTGACTTGAAATAAGCCCACTCTTCACTGGAGCCAGCAGCGGCAATCGTTGGCCTTTTGACCTTCTCAACCTTGGCAGCATGTCCAGAGGTGTGTACAGCGCTGTGGGCAGTGAGGAGTGCAGCTACGATAGCGGCATCGAAATCCTGAGTGGCGTAGTCACAGCCGGGGATGGGGCATGATACAACAGGCATTGTTGTGTCTTAGGGCTTCCGTGTTCATAAATAAGAACGCTGTCTCTTTGTTTTGGTCACTTCAACAATGAACACGGTCTGCAAATAGACAAACAGAAATGTAATATGATTAAGAAAGGTTGGTAATCCTCTACTTTCTATATCAGGTCTTTGGTCATTCACCCGTTGTGCGTCATAGACAAAGGATAAAACAAAATGTGTCACTCCCTCCGTATCATGTTACGCGATAACGCGCCCGACTGTTGCATTACAAAACACCGTGTTCGAATTGACCAATCAAACCATTTAGAATGAAATGATGTCATGATTAAGTAAAGTCGACTCCGATTGGCTGGCGCGCAGCTTGCATATCTGCATGTCTAGACATATCAGACGTTACGCGTTACATACAGGAGACATGCTCCGTGGATAACTGGTGATTCTCAGGGGCGTATCCAGTTTTTGATGTCGGGGGGGGGGGGGCGGCAACTGCACTCGCACATTCGTGCCGAAATGTAGACATTTTTTCTCCGGATGCTTGGCCTCCGTAAAATAAAACCAAAAAACAAGGGGGGGGGGGCATCTTCCAAATGGGGACGCGCTTCAAAACTAACCATACGGTATAATGGAAAATTAGAGGCCACTTTCCACGGCGCATTGTAATGGTTTGGAGCTTGGTTTACTTTTTTATGTCAGAACTCTATAATCATTTGTGGAAATCGTTAAATGTCATTAAAAACAATCTGCCGGGGGGGGGGGACCCCTTCTGGATACGCCACTACTCATCAACTTAGTAAACGCGCTTAGCTTGAATTAACCACTGTACATGCACAGTACATGACATTCTGGCTGCACACGGCGACCTGTTTGGGAGCTGCTAGGTGGGCGAGGATCAGGACTAAATAATGAAATCCCAAGGTGGACACTACATTGAAGCTGGAAAAGAGGACAACAATTAGACTGAAAAACCAACACAAAGCGGAACGTTTATTAAAACAAGAATGATCGTTACATGGCTATATCCAACAAACTCTTCACCCATAATAATGCCAAATTACATGTCATTACTTTTCTGCAGTTTCCTGAAGTTTACATTAGATTTCTGTTTCACTTGATTGATAGTTTACCGTACACGTTGTAAAGCGACACAAAAAAAATGAAATGGCTGCATCTGGATTTGAACCTTCGACCTCTGGGACACCATATACCGACATCCCATCAACTGAGCCAGTCTGCTTCATGTTGACAGTCTCCCATTTTTTTTTGGGGGGGGGGGGGGGAGGGGGAGGGAAGGGAAGCTAATTACAAGAAATGAACCTATTTGTACCATGTTTCCAGAGATCGCACCAAAGGCCACAATGCTATAGCAAACTTAGCATTGCTGCGCTCTAGAAATGGCAGTCGGAAATTACACAGAGATTATACAGCTTCTTTTGTATAAACAATCAGCAATTACAAATTCCGAACGCAGGAGAATCGTTTTAAAAAAGTATTTCTATTATAAATTGATTAACGAGGCACTGCTTATATTAGCTACTCTGCAAATCGCGCACAATACTTTCACAGACTCTACCCAATATGGAAGACATGATTCAGGTTTACATCAGTCTTATGGGAACAATAAATAATACATTTTAGTAACTCCCTTTATTAAATTCAGAACAAAGTGAAGCTGACTCTGGTGCGGTCAGTCCAAAGTCAAGATCCGTTAAAAAAATTGATTAAAAAAAAGCTAAAAGTATATTACAAGTGCTAAGTTTGTTTATATACAGTTCTATTCTAAAACTTTTTTAAATAACCTGTCGTTGCTTAGAAATTAATGATAAAAAACACCAATACGTAACGTCGGTTGATTAAAAGGCCTCATAAGTTGAACTTCAACTGTAGAAAAATGCACAAATTAGCCAATATTTGTTCATTTCCTTTACAGGCACTACTTCCACTACTTCTGAGATAGAAAACGAAGTCCAAAATGTTATCCAGCACACGTTGACGAGGGGGGGGGGGCCGCCACAAACACATCACAAGGGCTACGATCGTGTTTAGGATCATAGGGATTAATTCCACCAATGCATGAACTCGGGACGTGTTAACGGCTAATAGACAGACTTGTCAAATAGAAAAAGCAAAATAAGCTCAATTTTAAAAGCACTTTTTTGGTTAGTATAGGTCTTTGCTTAATTTCTAACAAAGAAACATTTTCAACAGAATTGTTTGGTAAAATTAATAAAGGGGTGCAAATTTACGTGGTACATGTATATCTAAAAAAAGAAAGATAAAAAGTGGCCCAACCTGTACACAGTGGTTTAATTAAATTGCAGAAATCTGAATATAATGGTTTTTATGTCAGGTAACAACATTTTGTGTCTAGATTCAGTTGTCCCACTGTCATTCTATTTCTATGGCTTCACAAGGGACGGAAAGCGTCATGATAAACAATGAAGACCAATACACATCCGATTCCGCTCAAGTATTGCCGTTGTTTCTCATGCACTGCAGACTGGGTGTGAAATAAATGACAAGGCAGCAGGCATATTGGGGATCTTAATTTAGCCACTCCTCCAATGGACAGATACAGCACTGTTTCTATTCAGCATCACGGTGTCTATGAATTCAGTGTCATTTTATGGGATATGTCGCCAGGTTTTAACCAAGATTTTAGCCTAATATGATTCGTCAAACGGCATCCTGTTTTAAGGCTCATTCGCAAAAAATCGTTCAACCAACACAACCATTGAAACACCGAATAAAAAAAGTCGCACACGGTGCAGAAAATGAAACGTATTAAAAAATAAGCAACATTAAACTTCATGTTGTTAAGAAGCCAAAGCTTTTTATGTCAAAAATTATTTGACTTATTGCTACATTTAAAGCGATATGAGGGGATATCGAAGGTCTTGGAGAGATGTTCCCACAAGAGAATCTTTTAGCGACCGAAGATGGAAGAGAAGTCAGATTCAATCATCCCGAAGCAGGTAGGTTCAGTGCCACTCCACTCGCCGCACTTCATGCAAACACGCGTGTTGGTTTCCAGTGTGGAGGCTGGATCTTCGCACACGTATATCACCTGCAAAGGGAGCACGCCACCAAGAGATGATTAAAAGCTACGTTGGGTTTCAATTACAGTGTAGGTGTTAGTCGACGTACTTGTAATGGATCACAAGCCATTATTCATCCAGTGCCAAGTTAACTCACACGGTCTTTAAACGAACTGTGACAAAGGCATTTCTTTGTTCTTCATCCCATGTTACTTGCGACGAGACTTGTGAACTGACTTATGATTTACATAATTATCGATTTGTGATAGCTTGTGATCCATCACTAGTACCTCGATCAGTTTTACAGTTGCATGTCTCCTTAACTATATCCCCATTTACATTTAACTCCCCAAATGTTCATCCCCAACACTACGCCCTACCCGATCTATGATCTGGTAAATCAGCTTGTATGAAATAAGTCCACGCAGATGGCCATTACACGACTGTTTCATGCTCACCTCATTTCCATGAGTGAAATCATTGCCGAATCTGATGGCTCCATCCACTTCACCGGGGTCACCACACGAATCTTGCGGTTGATCTGTTGAGGGTAAACACAAAAGTCACAAGTTAGCCGATGGAATCATGAAATTCGACCAGATTTGCTTTCTATGAAACCAGCTGCAAGATTAGCCGACCTAGCGCTTATAGCATCAAGAAAAAAGACAAACAGTGTTGTAATCGAGTCAATCACAATAACATGTGATTGACTTGTCATGTGATTGACTTGTGAGGAATTCTAACTGAACTTTTGAGGGATCGTAATGGCTCAACTAAAACACTGTCTACAAGTAAATGCAAATAAACATACAGGGGAAAAGGAAGTTTTCTTCCGCGCACACTCCCACCAGGCCATCTCCCTTCTTGGCGAGTACATCCTGATTTGTATCAGCGTTGCAAGAAGACGGAGGCATGGAGGACGCAAAGGGTACCTCCTTCTGCTGGTTGATGCAGGGAGCCTTGAGCAACACACGACCGCCAGTCTTATATGGAATGCACACGGTGCCGTCTGGGCCAGTCTTGCGGGACGTCGTGTAACGGAAGTCAATACCATACAGTCTGCAAAGGAACGTTTTAGTATCATCAAATGGCCTTTGAAACACAGAGAGAACTCCAAATTGGATTGAAATGGGGGTCTCAATGATGTCCTTTGAAGTAAGGTTTAGAAAGGAAAAGTATCGAATGTAATACAATATCAATGAAAGGCCCGGCTCAGCTGAAATAAGTCTAGCGAGTTGTAGTTTCCTTTTAGACTAATCCCTGTAGCAGAATTTCACATTTTACAAATTCAATTTCACTCAAGTTAACCATCCAATTCCAAAGTTGGATCTTTATTATCAGAGGCAAAAAAAAGTAATGATGTGAACTTACTCGATGAGTGCGTTCTCTACTGGGAATCGGCAGGCGACATCGTAGCAGGCACTGACCCGCACGCAACTAGTGTCCTTCCAAGTCCGTCCAAAGGCCCACCAGGCGTACCCGAAATTCCTAGCATTGAACTGCCACATGAGTCTGGACGTGGTATCAACGGCTTCTGCCGCGGTAATGTCGGCTCGCGGCTCCAAGACCGGCTCTGTGTCTTCCGAGGCTACGCCTGCCACGCCAGCTACGTCACCCTCTGCGACCCAGTAACCTGTTTAGAGAGATAAATGAATACGAGATTTGATTGTCGAGTTCCCATTACAGATACCTAAATCAGGCTTCAGCAATACATGAGCAGCTATATTGAATTCCTGAGAGCAAGAAGGGCCTAACTCTACTAAAAAATATGTTTTGCACATAAGGGGAATATCCGAAATACTGGGATATTATATGATTTGTTAGGATGTCCCTTATACAAAAAGGAACCTCTGGTGATCTTCGATCTACAAGCCATGGACCCTAAGTTAAAAAGCTGGAGCACGAAGCCAAAGCCGAGGACTTAAACCACGACTTACCCTTGTCTTCGTGGTATCGCCATGCTTGCATAGGTATCTCAGGATCCTCAGCCAGGTCATTGACGGCCATGGAGATCGTGAAAGGTGCCAGGTCCCTGGGAGGCCTCCTGATGCCACGTCGGTTCCTTACTAGACACTTCAGCTCCGTCATGCCAAACACCTCTAAACCAGTCAGCTCAATCTCACCTGCAAATCGAGAGCATTCGGAGGATAATTGAAGATAATAATTTATGGACAGTTCTTTTGTTTCTCTGCGTTTCAAACCATGGAGTCTCAAACTGTTGCTTACTTCGGATGGTCATAATGTCAAAAGTTTGACAAGATATAAAATAAACGGCCATAAACAAGTTTTTGGAATTTATTGAACTTTTCTTAATTAATCAGCAAACGAGATTCAAAGATATTTACAAGTACAAGTAATTATACGAATTAGCAAAATGAAGGCAATATGAAGTCATCTGTCTGTTTTTTGAAACGTTGTAATACCTGTCTCCTCGTTCAGAATTCCTGCGACTAATTCAGGTCCCTCAGACGGTGCTTCGATGACTGTTATGTTGAGAGGTCGGCATTCAATCGACACCCGTTCTCCATCAGGAACCTGTAGACCACCTGATGCATGCGAACAAAATAGAGTTCAAAATGAAACAGTCGTCAAAAATCGTCTCCTGCGACTGTAATTTTTTAATATCTATTTCGAGAATTTTCACCCATTCAAGTTTAACAACGAGCTTAAACTTCGAATAGCCAAGAAATGTCAAGTCAAGTCGGCTCGAGACGTTGCCGTGAGGCCGTCTTGAGGCGAGAACGATGCCTGACGCGCCACACCTCCCTTGACTCCATGCAGCTGGCCAACTCCTCCTTCGTCTCGTCTCCTGCATCAACGTCATTAACATAGTTGTCCTTGGGCGTCCAGGCTCTCGTCTGCCATGCGTTGGTTCCCAAGCCACGAGCTTACTAGCAATGTAATGAAAACTGTTTCATAAAAGATGATGTTTTGTTTATTTTGGAAATCGTACAAACCTTTAGGAATGTCCAGTCTCAGTAGATCGCCAAACTCCAGAGCTCGGCTTGTCTTCGGTCTGTACAGGAATTCGGTCAGTTCATCAAACTCATACAGTTCCAAAGTCAGCGTATTGTCTAAATGGCAAAGAATGAGGATAAACAAAATGAATTAATAAATATAAGCACTGCGAGAAACAAAGGAAAAGGACAACTTTCAAGGTTGTTCTTAGCAAAGGAATAGAAAAAGTTTTTTTTGCGGGAAAAAAATAACTAAATTGTTAGGACATTCTGACCTTGAAGGCCTAATCATTTTTTTTTTTAGAAAAGACATCACGATTCTTACTTGTTGATAGATAAGCCTTGTAGGATGCCGATTTGGACAGGAAATCATCGTGTTCCACACCGATCAGTACAGACTGGTTATGAGGAACAGCAACCTTAGTGATCCCATTGAAGGCAGTGGTGGCGGCCGCGTAGGCCCTCGTACCCTCCTTCTCGTCCGGGACATAGACCGTGACTTTGGCGCCTGAGATCAGCGGCTCTCGCACGCTGACTGCGTCCGTCACGACCACCGTCAAGTTGACATATTTCGGGACGACGATGGGCGGAGGCAGCTCTATAAAAAGAAAAACAAGGCTATAAATGTTAATCTCTAACTGCACTCTCTTAGTGAAAACATGAGGCGAGACAAGAGAGTGACTTACTTATTTCGACCTGGCACCTGGTTTTAATTAAATATCTCAGAAGAAAGTTCCATCTTGTGAATGTGAAACGTTGTATAGCTGAAACAAAGGGCGTTCTTGTAAATTTTGTAATAGAGGTGACCGAATACACACTGCAATCGGTCTTTTATTAAATTCACCCACATTAAGCTATTAGTCTTCCTTACACGCAAAACCATAAAAAAAGGTCCGTGTCGTCTTTTGATGTCTTTAATATTATAACAATGACCAGGAAATGTATACCAACTCCAAACATTACTCCAGTAAAATATGTAGCCTATACCAAATCATGCACTTCAGATTTTATCAGAATCGACGTCAAGGGGTAGAGTCTAAAATTTACTGTAAGTGATTATCTTTTGTGTTCAAACCTTGTGTCATCCTCGCCCCCAACCAAGAGTGGTTTAATACACCACAGTATTTATGACTTACTTTTGCATGTTTCCCCGTCCCCAGCGTATCCATCTGGGCAGTCACCGCAGGCAAACAGTCTGATGATGGGTAGCGATCTCCAGTCCAGGGTATTGGGGTTAACTTCGGTGCATTCCACGCCCTCAAAACAAGGCTGGTCCGCACAGGTGCGAGGATCTGTTATGAGAATATGATAATCAAGGTAATTGCAGTCATTTTGCCCCCTTTTATGGGATGATTGTTTGCAGGATAGATGTACAATAACCTGCATGCCCTAGCAACTCTCTGAAACCCCTTTCGTATGCTTGGATGCTAGATAGGAGAGAGTCTGTCTGCTTGTTAACTTGCACTGCAGCCATGTTTTAGGTGCGTACTTTGTTCCACGGATTCATGCATCAGTATACCTCTTGTGCATGTATTGTTAATGAATTAAAACACCTTGAAAATAGCTGCTGACTGAAAGTGGTCTTTTGGTATTAAATTCATGCAGTCGAACCCTGATAAGAAGAGCACTGTTAATACAACGTCATGTTTATACCAAGCAAAATGTTAGGTCCCAAGCCTTTCTTTTTCTTTGTTTTCCAGTACTGTTAATACAACGTACCTGTTATAACAAGGTAATTTGTAAAGTCCCAAGGACCTTGTTATAAAAGTGTTCGACTGTATTTCAAAAAAAAAAGTGGAACAACATTCGCAGATCAATATTACTTATCAGTAAACAATTCGTAGACTCAAGATCGCACTAAACCTAATTCCCGGTATTTTTTTCAATTCAGAACTCTTCAGCTTTCCAACCTCTCTCTAAAGCTTCATCCTCACCTTAGATCAAAGACTAAATAAATGAAGACTGATTCTTACCAAGCGGTATGCACGTCTGTCCATCGCCAAAGAATCCATCTTTACACACGCAATCATAGGTTCCTGGCACATTGACACAGGTGGCATTCTCGTTACAAGAGAACAGCCCTTCCGCGCATTCGTCAATATCTGCCATTATAACAAAGAGACATAATTATTCATTGAATTTCAAGTAATTCATTTTAATCATCTGATTGCAATTTTAAATAGCATTTGATGAAGAAATGATTTTGGAACGTTGAAATATGTCTATAGTGTAGGTATACTTCTGTTTGTTTGTTAAAATGGACAGAGTAATGCAGTTGCGTTATCAGATTCGTTTGATCATTTTTAACAGCATACTAGTGTGGGAAAATGGGGGAAAGCAGCAAAACAAGTGTAATTTTACACAAGATTTATTTAGTTTTGTGGTGGCCATGGTGTATAATTTAGCACAGTGTTTATTTTGGGGTGTTTATTTGACTTGGTAATTATTGATTTATTTTGAAAAAAGGTACTTTATTCCAGTGCTGAATGTCTGTAATCCTCTGAAAAAGGAATTTCATTTTGCGCACTCTGCCTTTTATTGTCTCATTTGTCTGGCAGTCAATAATTTCATGTTTGTGAAGAAATAATTCAATAACTAAACGTCAGTGGATTTTTTTCTAGATGTCTCATTCACAAGTGAACACCTTTTATTTTCTAGGAAACAATGAATTGAAATAAACAATTTATTTTTTCGAAAAATAGCATGGGGGAAATATCTTTAAAGGGAATATACAACATTTGCAAACATCGAAAAAACAATACCCCAAATTTTTACGAAATACCTTACTAGGATGTTGGTAAATTACGGTCTTAAGCATCTTGTAAAATCATGGCACCTGGTGTGAAGTCATTTGCAAGAAAAGTGGTATTTTATTGTAAATTTCCAACGGTGGTCGGCCGACCACCGTTGGAAAAACCTAACTATTTTTCAACTACTGCTCCAAATTTACCACTTTTTCAGTCCAAATTTTGTTTGCTATTGGTTACATGTTCATGAACGGGTGCAGGCCAGCTAGACTGGTTCCCTTACCTTACAGTTTTCCGGCATCTATGAATTGATCCATATCATCTTTAGTGGAGTCAGGGAACCAGACTACTTGAACATTTTAGTTTTTCTTGGTTTTTCCAGCATTTTTGAACACAAAACTTTAAACATGTCAGTGTAACAATATTTGATATATTATACTAATCCCTCATATTGTTCATTACTGAAAATTACAGCAAAAGCCAATGATGTACATTCCCATTAAACACTGATCATGTCTCTCAAACCCTTCCTTGACTTTCCCGAGCATAAATTCCTTACCGACACAGTTGACTCCATCTCCTCGGTAGCCAGGCGGACATCTACCGCAGGCATACAGCTTGACCACCTCGGTACTATCCAGGTCAATATTGTTCCTGTCCAGCGGTATGTCGGTACACACCACTCCCGAGAAACAGGGATTGTCACGGCAGGTTGTTGGGTCTGTGAGGTAAGAGAGAAGAAATAGAACCAGGAAATGTAAAGATGAAATGCCGGTCAAATCCGAGCGATCGTTTAATTGTTTTGGTTAAACTGTGTTGAGTTTCGTTACTTTAGCTTTTTTTCTTCGTAACAAACTGTTTTAGCAGAAGTGTAATGGACAAGCAAAGAGGAACAGCCGTTATTTTTATTGTAGGAAATACCTTTTTAGGTCTGTGGAATCGATCCTTGGCAATTACTTACAGGCATTCTCTATGATTATCGATACCTTTCAGTAATACATCACAGCTAAATGTGTTCTTACATAAGAACATTTATCTTGTTTCAAGAAATATTTTCTTGTTATACTCCCTAAAAAAAAATTATTAGGGAAATGACAAAACAATATATCTTGAAACAAGTAAGACAATAATTTTGGCAGTGTATATCCCTATACCGATAACTCATTATGTATTAGAAAAATTTATACCTCTGAGTAAACTACATGTATCCCTATAAATTACTCAGATGTATTGATTCTTCATGAAAATCGATAACATTCCTTTGACATACCGATCTGTCTACATCGCTTGCCATCTCCCACGTATCCAGGATCGCATAGGCACTGGTAGCCACCCTCGGTGTTGATACAGGTCGCATTCTGGTGGCACTCGAACAGATTCAGGGCACACTCGTCTATGTCTATGGAGTTGTTGAACAAAGAATTGAACACAGAAAATAACTTGTTTGATTTGTTTGTGTATTGGCCTTTTACATACAAAAACCCTTTTAAAGGTAACCATTTGCAAAAATGTGCTTTTGCCGATTTGAAAAACAACAATACAATCAATCAAAGCACTTTAAAAAAGTACCTGACGAGTTTCAAATCAGTAGATATAGATTTCCTTTCTCGGAAAAGTGTGAAAATGAATTTTAATTTTTCTAGACCCAATGTTTAGTTTTCCATTGAAAGCACTATATGGTTTGGTCCTAATCATCGCGAGAAAATGGTGGTAAATTCTCTTGAATTTCTAACTAAAATTACAGCTATATACCGGTACTATTCGCAATGATTTCACAGAATGTATGAAACAGTTTCATTGTTTAATGTTTTCAAATGGTTTCCATTGTCTGTAATGAATGCAGATATGATACTCGTGCAGATATGATCTTCGGAAGTCATCTTGTAATATTAACATCTTAGCTCTTAAATTGCGTTTCCTGGTGTCACCGCTATCGTCGCTATACTATAAAGAAGATGTATTGTGAGTGTATGTTCACGAGTTGTTAACAAGCTGCTCGACCACGCGGTTGACAGTCGAGGATCGTCACCTTTCGCTCGGGAATCGGTCGAGAGGCGGCGAAGCCGCCTTCCCATGCAGCGGGCGAGGCGGAGCATCGTTAAAAAATACCGGTACGGTGGTAAATTTGAATGCGATTTTCCTTCTACGTTTCATGTCACTTCTGAAGGAATGTGGTATATCCTGAAGTCACTTATTTACTGGAGTCCTGAAAAAAGTTTCTTAAAAGGCCTATTTTCTAGCAAAATTGCAAATGCTTTTTTAGCCCCAACTTGTTTTTCCCCAACATCTTTTTAGGGAATGACCATCACAATACTGCATTATAACCATTAATATTCGATGTAACCAAATCTTGAACCCGATTTGGAAAATACCTCGACAAGTTTCTCCATCGCCAAAGTAGCCTTCCGGACACGAACCACACTCGAACAGTTTAATGAGGGCGGTGTTGGCGAGATCAATGGTCTGTAAGACATCCTGCAGGGCCAAGTCTCGACATGGCACTCGACCATTGAAGCAAGGCAGGTCCGCACACACTCTAGGATCTGAAAAATGAAAGGGCGCAACCGGTTTGCAAACGGTCACCAGTTTTATTGTTACCATTGTTATTAACGTTTATTTTCTCTGACAAAACGACATGACTGGAATAATTATTACTCTGTCTATTCCAGAAAAAAAAACGGTGCTCTACCACCTGAGCTATCAGCCTATCTAGACATTTTGAGCATTAATTGCACAGTTGGTAACCTAACGGAAATGCAAAGGTCAATGATTCAAATATCTCACAAGTAACAGTTTCCTCATTTATTTTAAATAAACCAAGGCACATTATCTGCTTCTTACCGATAGGTACACAGAGGGTACCGTCCCCTGCAAAGCCTGGGTTACACACGCATTGGTAACTCCCTGGCGTGTTGATGCATGTGGCGTCTGCGTGGCAGTTATCGAGACGTCGTGCACACTCATCTATATCTGCAGTTATGGACAAGACAAAATGAGTATGAAGACCATGATGTGATCATCAAATTAAAAGGAGTCAATGCATCCTCTGAGATTGTGTTGACCAAGTCGGGATGGATAGAAGGTGAACTGAAGATCGTTCTTTTTTCTGGCCAATTAACTCAAACTGTTCTAAAAAAACAATCAGTTACCACTTGACAAATTACTTTAGCCTCTTCCCCAAATTTAAGACAGTGAGCCTGCGCCGACCTTCTCCCACTCAAGTGTGCCCCTCCTATAATTGTCCTCCAATTTCATACCTTGGCAATTCTCCCCGTCTCCTTGGTAACCTGAAGGGCAGGGACCGCATCTGAACAGTTTGATGATGTCCAATTGTCGCCAGTTTCGTGAGTTGAGGATTCTTTGCAGTGGAATATCCTCACAATCGACACCTGGGAAGCAGGGCCCGTCTGCGCATGTGCGAGGATCTACAAATAGAGAGAGGCCAAATGGGGGAGTGCCCTTGGTGTCAAGTCCTGTATTATAGGAGGCTATTTCTGGCAGTTTCGATTGAACAAAATCATTCAAAAGCTTATGGGTCCCTCTATACTGGACATTGCAGTCGTCAAATGTAAGTATTAGGTATGCCATTACTATATGTATGTGCTCATGTGAAATCGCCAATTCGGTGTCATTTCATAAAATTCTAAACCTATTTCAACAACAGATGCGGCATCAGTACATTTTTTTTGTTAGTTTATAACAAATAATTCGCGCCATATTTCTATTCAAATTCTGTAGGTGCAGCATTTTGAAAAAGTGCAATCTTCAGCTTGATACTCTCATCATCATAAGAATAGCAGGGTGGATTACTATCGGCACGTGAATCATAAAATCGTGACTTAAGGTTCATACACCAAAATGAATTTGTTCCGCTAAGCGTCAGATACAAAACGTAACGACACTAAAGCAACATAGCCTTGGGTTGGCTTAAACAGCTTAGGATGCTTACACGCATCCTCCCTTGTATTGCCTTGAAAACGGACATGTAAGTGTCATGAACAGTTGCGACCTATTCATTTATTGTATCCGGCAAAAGCCAATCATGCACGTTTTCTTGAGAATTAACCCTCAATTGATGATATGGCCTCGATTTATGATATGGCATCTGGAAGAAGAAATGTTCATTCGAAAGAAATGTTTAACTTTTGAGGTTTTACAGTCCTTGCCAACGCAGTAAGGTGTTTACTGAAATAGGCTTTATAATCCATATATTTTCAGGGGAAACTCCAGGGGAAATTTTCAGAGGTTCAACATTCCCGTCCGGGGGGTAAGGTGTTGACGAATGGGCGAGGTCGCGTCATGTCACGGCCCAGGTCCGCGGTTGATGACTAGTTTCCAGCTTGTTACACTACGGATACCGCAAGGTAAGCGGACACAGTAACGGTTATATAGCTGGCCTCATGCCTTCCCCCTCCCCCTCCCCACCCCAGACCTCATATAGCATGACACTGTTGATGTATGACAACGCCATCTATTTGACGACATCGATTACTGCAAAAACACCAGGCGACGTGAACTGACCATAAGAACTTTCTATCGACATAAACAATGGAGCGCACTTTAAAAAGTTTTTTTTCCCGCCACACGACAGATGAGAATAAAACGATAGATCCAAATAATGAAGGTCAAAGGCTTTCAAAATCCAACTGCAGCGCAGAAAATGTAGCACATTACTTCAAATATCGTTTCGATATTGTGCTATCATTGCGGAAAAGTGTTAAGGAATACATCATTAGTGACAAAATATAGGCGTAAGTTTCAACTTTGTTGCGATATCACACCTGCAAATCATCTCACCTCTGCATGGCATGCTTAGTATGACTCGAAATAGAACCAATTAAAGACAATCGACAGTCCTGAGGAACTCAGGGGCTAGTTACTGAGTGAATGCAAGAGATTGTTATCCTTACCAAGAGGAATGCAGACCCGGCCATCACCGGCGAATCCTTCCTTACACTCACACCTATAACTGCCTGCGGTGTTGACACAAGCTGCATCACGGTGACAGAGGAACGTCCCTTCCTCGCATTCGTTCCGGTCTGTTGCAGGATTGAGGAGGAAATGCAAGTTACTTATCTTGTTCGTGCTCTAGTGAGCTTCTCAAGATTTCCCTAAAGAGACTGCAATTATCAAACTTGCAATCAGGACATCACAAGAAATCAGAGGTCATCACAAATCATAACAATTCAATCACAAATTATCGGGCCCGTAGACAGGATGAACCGTGATAAAGACGTAATTGCATTGTCATTGTTCATTTGGTTACAACAGTGGAAACTTCTGTATACAACAAAAGCTTATTTCCTTCGGTTACAGGAAACGCAATGTAAAATAGGACTACTGCGTGTATCCTATTGTTGAGTGATGCACTACGTAGCAAAAAGTTTCAAAGAAAATCTGTCGGCCTCTATATTATTGGTGAATAATGATTACAAAGTTTACGCTGTCATATACCTGCGCATGTCTCGCCATCACCCTCGTACCCACGTGGGCATTCCCCGCACTGATAACGCTTGATGACGGTTACACTGCCGAGATCGATATCGCCACGGATGGGAATGTCAAAGCAGCGAACTCCCTGGAAACATGGACGGTCAGAGCAAGTTGTCTGGTCTGGACATACGGGAAAAAAATGATACAAGGATGTTTGTGAAAATAAAGATTCTGTCCTTCATCGACGGAACGCTATTAGCACGTACACCCCACGAACAGTGATTTTAGAGAACTTATATGAGAATAAAATCTCATTACTAGGGTGGGACTCGAACCTGCTGCCTCGTGTTTACTACTACAGACGTCGTTATCAATTCCCAACTACAACAGCAATGTTTCGTTTAAGTCAACATGAGCACACGTGTAAATTCAACGAGTAGCCATAGGCAAATCCTCCTGCAAATTCTCAATATTATTTCACCCGTGAATCAACCTATGCACTCGAATCCATTTCAAAACACTCACACAATAACCTCACTTTCCAAAGTCTACTTGAATCAACGATAAAACAACAAAAGATTAATGAAACAGCCTGTTGTCATTTTTACAAATATCGATTTCGTATACATGTATTTTAATTTTGAATTCCCGCCACACCTTGGCGAGCTATTTGTTAGGCGTTTCATGTGTGTCCGTTTGTCTCTCTGTTTACCTGGACATCACATTCTTTACTCGTGTGTTCTTACCGACTGGAACACAAGTCTGGCCATCGCCGACGAATCCAGGCTTGCATTGGCATTGGTAGGAACCAGGTGTGTTGATGCACGTGGCGTTTGCGTGGCATTCATACTCGCCGGTCTCGCACTCATTGATGTCTATGGGAATTGAAAAAAAAAATATTGAGAGTGGATGCTTCATTAAGTTAAGATGGGTAAAGGTATACATGTAATTATTAAAAAATCCGGTACTGACAGTAGAAAAACAAACATCATTGACAGCAACCTCAACAGTACAGCAGTATCATGCTATCGGTTTTTAATTTTGCTACTAATTTATCCTGTGAAAAAAAATCAGTGGACCGAAATGTTTCTTATCGTGTCCAGTTTCTCGGCTTTGTTTAGTCCACTGTACGCTTTGTGCTGCTTTCTCCTGTCCATACAGCTGATTCCTTAGAATTGAAAAAAAAGGGTTACCACTCTGCCCCCCCCCCAAAAAAAAAGCCGATCAGGATTGAACGCCTGTGACCTGGCCCTGCGCAACTTCCGCTACTCTCCTTTTAGTCATAAGTCCTTTGTCCCCTGAAGCGGCGGACATGCTCGCTGTAGTAGGCCTATAATAGTGTACGCCCATTTCGGAAAGGGGTATCATCACAATCTCATGGGGGTGGGGGCTATTGTCAGTAAATGAACTAGATCTACCTAGAAACATGCGTAGACCGATAGTTCTCTATTAAATAGAAATAATCCAACATACTGCATGCGCGCTTGGCTATAGTGCTGAAACGGGTGAGTGTAAGGGGTGTAGAAGCTCATGCATCGACTGTCATGCTCTCTGTCGTTGAGGGCAGTGTAGTCTGCCTCTTTCAGTGACTAAAAGAGGACGGTATGCAGACGGGTCCTTTTTGGCTAGCCAACACTATTTGAACATGCAAATCTTCGAAATGAGCCATCTTAAGCCGATTCACTACTCGCTTCGTGCAGTCCCATGCAACTGGATGCACCGTCCGCATGCTCTTCTAAATCATGAGATATTTGTCCTAATGATAGCATACACATAAATATAAACATGAATTTATATTTATTGGAACTACTTCTTCAAATGGTGACGTTAAATAAATATATTTGGCATAAAGCCGCAGCATAAGGTTCCATCCCTTTCCGCAACGAGTCAAACTTAATGAGTCAAAGAACATCAATCACTTGTCATGTGCTTACTTTTTATTCCACAAACACAGCATGCAAATCATGCTAACAAAAAAAGCGTACAACCAAACCACCCCACCACATGCCAGAGCCGTTGAAACGGCTCCAAATACCGCTGCACACGAACATTATAATGTTTGACATTTTGGTCATAATGAAATAAACCTGTCTTAGTGAGTAAGGAAACAGACGTTAATTAATCTTTCACGTTGTTTCACTACAAGGCCGCACCCCGGACATAGTAACATGTAACGATTCAAAACTATTTTGGGTTAATTTAAGCCTTTAAGTATACTCTTCCAACGGTTGGCATTTTATTGGCGCCAATGTCTTTTAACACCTTCTGGATTTTGGCGTCAAAACTGTTGGATATACTTGGGGTTGACCGAGAGCCGTGGAAACCAACGAGTATGATCTGACCGGACCTGGAAGTCGCTGACACTGAAGTCATCGGTGGAAGGTCAGTTCCTGTGAGTTTGCTTTAACAAACGTCACATAACAATTAACACAAGTGGTTCGTCTTGATCAAGTTGAAGATGCGCATATAGTCAGTGACCTGTGACCTCGGTCAGAGTGAGGTCATTGCAATTGATATGCATATGGTATGCATTAAAACTTAAAGTAGTTCGTATCAGATGAAGTTGTCTATGATTGTGAAGGCTAAATCAAGAGTTCAAGACCAACATGTGTGACAGGACTAGATGGAAAGATTAGAAGTTTAACTACAGCCTTCGGAAATTCACGGTGGTTGTCATAGGATAGGAGTGACCGGAAGTCGTGGATGACCAGTTGTCATGAGGAAACTCAGACCGTGCAATGACTAATCGAGGGCCTGCCTCATCACACACGACCGCCATGCGAGTAAGTCCGAGTTTGCAAAACTGTAACACAGCAAGGGTTTTGAAACACAAGATGGCCAAGCACCGGCTAAGGCAGAGGCGGATACCTATAGCCTAGTATCTGGGTCACGTCTGCAATGCCACGAATCATTGGGCAGAAGCGAACCATGACTGATCTATGCTCGGCACATTCCTTAGCAAAAAGAAAAAAAATGTTATGTAATATACATGTGACTGGTTCTCATGTACGCTTAATATAGACATTTGCTGAGCAAAATGAATTTTCTGCTTTAGCAGCTCCATACCGTGCGTAGAATACCTGTTACGGCTCGAAACACGTCTAGGCCCATGAGGAAGTAAGTTACGTTGCCCCCCATTCTAAACTTGCGATAAACGTGTAGAATCAAGTAGAAATAGGACAGAAATAGAACAACTTGAGGGAACAATGACATACCACATTGAGATGAAGTTAATTTCATCCTTGACATCGTCACAAACACCTCCCCGAGGATCTATCCCTCTACGGGGAATGCACTGCGCAGAAGCGCCAATTAAGACATAACGGAAGATATATGATTTTGTCATAAAAATGTCATAAGATGACAAATTACCCGAAGTCAGGGGCTGGGTATCTGTTCAACGTCTCGCTTTTCAGCCGCAGTGACAAGATCAGATATGAACCATTTGAAGGACTTTTTTTATTTTATATATTTATGATTTATACGTCTAGAGCAGACGACTGTGAGAAATAGAAAAGGCAAGTCAAAACTCGAAATATTAAGTTCTGCGATATTGCTTTGTGAGTACCGCCAGACAGATTGTGTACATTATGTCCAATGAAAAATAATTTCCAGACGCAAGAATTTCAGAAACGTTTTTGGTTCACGAAGGTCAACGAACCTTTTGGATGGTAGAGACAGAAACAGTGTCCAAAGAAAACAGAGTACCAACTAAGTTCGGAATACATATGTACATCTATTGAACTCCAAAAAGGTGAAGATGTGCACCAGCGAGGATAGCGTCCAGGCGCCATCATCTCAAACGCCACGATTGTGAAAATGTCAGAATCCTGGAGCCTAAATAATTACTCGATTAATTGATCGTAAAGCAACGTCAGAAGCTTCGGATGTTGAGAAATAATTTCCTTCTGATAACGACTGTTTAAGTTGTGGATTGAAGCTTAATTGGCATAGTTCCCTTAGACATTTGGCTTCGACGCGATAAACTTTAACACTGTTGCACTGGCACAGTGGAACGTTCAAATTGCGCTCGTTGAAAACGTACCCTTAATATTACAAGAATATATAGACACGCCCATCAACCTAATTGGAACGTCCAGTCTAAGATGAGGTTTCAGTCACACGAATCCCACAAGTCTGTGAAACGTCTTCAATTTCCTGACCATTTTCCGAAATCTTTACCAAAATATCACCTCGTAATGTTTTGAATGTCTATTAGATTTTGATCAAAGCATACAAAGAAAACTAAATTAATTTTATATATCTGATGACCTGGGGATGATGATCGGCAAGGAATTTGTTGTTTGTTTTCACTGACTAACTCGGCATGCAGCACATTGTCTGCCCTCTCCTCGATGTTTAAAGTTTAGTGTCAGAGGGTCGAATAGTTTATTTGGTCTCATGGAGTGATAGACGACTGGCGTATAACCGAGGCCAAAATATCAAGTTCTTCCAAGCTTTATTAGGCAAACGACACTTCAAGAGGATAGACCAAATGGGAGTCTACAAGGCACGCAATCAAGACTTATGCCTGAATGTGTCTTGAGTCTGAATTATCTAATGATTCATGAATGCTGTTTTCAATGGTGTTATTTATTATTATTATTATTATTTTTATATATTTTTTTGGTACAAATTCAGGGTGGTATAATGTTGTGCGTGCAGGCTGTCACTTCGCGACTCCGCGCGTATGAATTACATCGATGTATTCCTTTAGCACCCATGTTTTCTTGCGGTTTATCAAACACCCCATGCAGGGATTCAAGAGTTTCCCACATGATGATGAATGATAAATCATAATAGACAGACACTTGAACGTAACACTCAGTGAAGTTTGCAACTTATTCGTTAACTGGTTAAAAAAATGGTGTTACCCCCCCCCCCAACATGCATAATTTCAAAACAAAACATTGCTAAAAAAACCCAAGATACATGTACTAGCACCGGCCCCCTTTCCCCCTTTTTTGGAGGGGGGGGGGTCGACAATATTCATATCCCATCAAGTGTGATTTCGGGAGAAGCCCCTGTTCAATCTGAACACATTTAAAATTGATGTCAATGTTTCAGTACAATAAATATTTAAAGCTAAATTAGTATGACTTCCATGATTTCTTCAACGTCAACTTACATCATAAGCCGATATGGAAACAGAGATACAGGCCAAACAAACTGGAAACACCACGCAATCTTTCGTGAGTCCCCTGGTGAGATTAAACTTTTCCAGAACTGAACACCGGCGCTTCCTCTGACAGGAAAACCCAATCATGATTACTCGATTTCTGACACCTGGAATAAATTGCGTATTATCACCCACCAACCTGACCTGGATTGATAACACGCACACTCCTCCTGACATTAATTGAAATATTGCTTATCCCCACCTCTGGGGAAAAGTACGTCTCTTTTTACTGTCCATCCCCACCTCTAACCCACCCCTCTGAAAAGGCACACTGACAGGTGACACAATATGTCGGCTAAAAATAAACCAGGGAGCTTGTTAAGGATGACATCTTAATTAAGTGCCCGATGACGAAATTTACAAGGTACTACAAATTGTTGACAGGTGGATTAGACGACTGTTGCTGTCCATGGGACGTGTGATACAACCACGGGGCGAAAAGCAAACACACACGTGTGTGTCATCATTGTAATATCTCATTTTAGTTAGGTAAACTTTTCAAGCTTTTATTTTTTGGCCTTTCCAAAGACGTGCGACTAGTATATGTACCACGAAAGAGATTGGGAATTGCCCCATAACAGCACGATCCTAAAGTCTCTGCAATCTAACATATTCCCGTGAATTTCCCAAAATAAGTTAGTTGTCTATTTTCAAAACTTTCCTTAACTGACAAAGAATTTATAAGATCAGAATCTAAACAATAGACCATCCACATATCCCTCACATGTCAATCTCCATGGAGAGTTACATGCATTGGGATTATTTGAAAGTTTACGGTCCATCATAGAATTTAAGAACATTTAATAAAGACAATTACTGAAATAGTGTTATTCAATCAATTTAGTGTGATTCAAGAGACCTCAGTCCAGAATTAGAAAGTTGACTCATGATTGAACAGTAGGAATGCCGTGCCTAGCTGTGGGTGAACAGGTCCACTAATTATCTCTGGGGTCCACCATACGAAGCATTCAATCTATCAACGTGGACAAATTTATCAAAATCATCTTAACAAGAGGGCTGTCTTGATTTACAAGTCAATTTGGATAAGGAAGTATCCTGTTAACTCGATGCTTCGCGAAGGCTGGATGGACAGCTTGGTTCTAGTTATGTTGAACATGGCTTCATGACAGAATGCAACGGCCAACATTTTGCCTGGGGAAAACTCTCGGCGTCGGGTGGGATTAAAAAATATTCGTGATTACATGGTGCATTTTTAGCTCGACAATAGCGTGATCTAAACACATTCCTTCTGTGTAAGTATGTTTGACAAGTGGCATTGAACTAATCTAGTTCGTTCCTTGCTTGCAACCATCGCTTCTAATGATCAGCTAATTCATGAGTTCCGACTTGGACTTGATTCAAGTCGCTTGCTGACGCAAATTCATCATCCCGTGATTTCTTTTATCACGCTCACCAGAGCGGTATACCAAAGGTGGTGCGTGCGATGCAAGTCAGACTGCTGTGAGACTCAGAATTTCACTTTTTTCGGTTTGTAACTTATAGGCTTTTTTTGTTTAACAGAGAATCCACATCATGTAGAACAAACAGCCACTTGCACAGTGTCCAAAATGGACACTGTTGTTTTACGGCTATGGCTATTCACAATTCAAATTGCAAAATGATAAGTCATAGCCACACACACACATTCCGACATCTCCCATATTTTATTAGAAAGCAGCAACCCTCGCTCATCAGAGCTTGCATGGCAAACTCTTCAAGTGGAGGGACTCGAGGTAGTTATTCGTTTCGTAAAACGTGACAACCAATTAAAGCATGCAGGGTCGTGCAGACACATGCAGCCCAGAATGTCTAGTAAAATTCTTACCAGTGCATCGCACCCCATCCCCACTATAACCAATGGGACAGGGTCCGCAACGGTACAGTTTGATGGGATCGTCCGACGTGAGGTCAATGGAGTCGAGGTTGAGCCTGATATCGGTACAGACGACCCCGCGGAAACAGGGTCTGTCTGCGCATGAGCGGCGCTCTGGGTTTGGAGGTGGGTTATGGGTATCATGATGATGAGTTTATAATGTTCATAATGAAAAAAGGAAGATGTAAAGTGGTTAATTACGCTATCCTACTCTCAATGGAGGGCGCCCTCTCGCATTTCCAGCCAGACATTGGCAGGCAAAATTGTCGGTACTCTTTACAACACATCCTGCTACATTATATCATGGGCAATATTCTGAAAATATATAATTTTTTTTTTAATGGTTGGCGTATGCTTAAATACTTGCATCACAGTTTGACATGAGAGGAAATGCCGCCTGTCAGCTGACAGACTGACGTGAATAGAGTCTGCCTCTGCTAGACTTAAAACGGTAGAGGGCGTCCAGATACTTTTAATTGGTTTTAAAAACATAAGGACATGGAATCATTCAGGATTTTTTTGCGAACATTACAATAATTATTTGTATAACCTATGTCTACAAACTTCATAGTTCAAATGATGATTAATGATGATTAATAAAGGCACACAATGGTATCAAATTATTTGAAATATGATTATGTACTGATACATACAAAAGTGATGGGTTATGACTTTATATGAGATGACAAATGACTGAGAAACAGCTACCGGGTTTTCTGTTTGTTTTGGCGGCTGTAAAAGGCCATCAGACATTACAAAGAAATGATGTTTGTGAGTACATTTTGCGACACCAAACTACTTCCAAAGAGATCTATTTTGTGATGTCTGGTGTCCATTTAGAGCCACCATATATAGTGTGCTCAAGTGGTGACTTACCGACAACTAGACAAGTCTGACCATCGCCGACGTAGCCTTCGTTGCAGACGCACTTTGCGATGGCTCCAGTCTCATCACAGTAAGCGTTCTGGTCACAGACCAGGCCTTGGGCAACACACTGATTGCGTTCTGACGAACAATCACAATATATTTAGTCAACAATATTTAACAATGCGATGAAAAGCCAGATAAATAGACTCAAAGTCCCACAATCTTTGGAGATTGTGACACAAAACAACATGATGGTAATTTCAACTCAAGAAGTTCTTTCTTGTAGGCGAAAAAAGGTGGTGTACAACACAGTACTTCACGAATTCGGCACATTCTATTCAAGCAAAGCCCCGGAAGCGGTTGACATTTTCTTTTGCTTTGCAGGTCCAGAAAATGAATCCATGTAAATCACGGGTAGTTTTAGTTGTAAACACGTGAATTGGATTCAGTGGTTTTTAATGTTAGCTGGTGTTGATATTTTTTTACCCGTTTCATTTCAAACATGAAGGCTTACCTTTGCAGATTAGACGACGGTTGATGAGTTGGAAGGCAAAACCCTCCTTGCACATGCACATGTAGTTACCGTACGTGTTGCGACACCGCTGGTCAGATGGACACTTGACCAGACCTTCTGCACACTCGTCAATATCTGACGCACAAAATAATGAATCGTTTTATTTAAGGCCAGTCTATAAACAGAGTTAGCACCGACTGTGAAATGTTAAGAATATCTTCTTTTTTTCTTCAGTCTACCAATGCAAAAAATACCCGTTATACGATAAGACTTTCTGCTGTTTGCTTTATGCTGGGGGATTGGTTGCTATTAAAATTAATTTTGCATTTATCAATTTTAACTGATTATTACAGGTACACCTTTTACGTTTCTTAATCAATATTTTGTTCAAATGGCATTATGGCAAACTTTGGTCAACCGAAGAATGAATTATCTGTTTGTACATTGTCGCATTAGGCTCCATCCACGTCGCAGGACAATTTTTCAAGGAAATTGGTTCAAAAACTAAATCTAATGGAACTCAGGTGCGGATAATGTCAAAAATGACCAATTAAAAATGTTCAAGTAGATCCTTGCGATTTATGTTATGGAGGACATCAATCAAATGCGGGAGGTGGAAACCGAAAGGCATACATTTCGACCTGCGAACCTATCTCACCTAGCGCGGGGCTTCACTATGCTGACATTAAGAACAGGAATGCTGCGCATATTTCTTATGAGAAGTACATGACGAATGTTCACACGCGGTTTGCTGATGTACATTGTGCAGAGTGACATCGTCTGCTGTGGTTTCTGCCTGCGAACTTCTACAGCAATTATTTCTACATTTCGCCTGGGATTTGGATTGCGGTTAAACTGTTCAATAGTGCTCCCAGGAGCGTATTAGCGCTACGCCTTATAGACAAAAAAAAAGTTCCAAGTGTCTTTCCTTCGCCGACAGATGCCAGGATGTATCCTTTGGGGCCGCCGCCGTTCTAGGTTAAGCACGTCTTGAGCAATTAGATCATCGTACAAAAATAGCAGAGGGCAAGATTAAATGTGTGATGAGATATCATTTGGGCAAAGATGAAATCTTTGTATTTTCTACCGACAGTGGGCTTGTTCGTGCATGTACGTTGATTGCACAAAATAAAAGGGCTCTCTTATCTGCACTTTAATGCGTATGCTAATACATGTATAACAATTTTCTCTTCCCCTCAGAGCGACACCCTGCTTAAAGTAGCCAGAGCCGGTGTTAACAATGTTTCCTGTAACTCTGTCTGGTCACCGACGATTTGAAACACCGAATGTTGTTTATCCTTTTACATCAATAATGTGGTCATCATTGATGCATGCACTAGAGGTCTGATGGTAAAGGAGTGTGCAACAAGGAACGAATGCCTAGCAATTAGATACATTGAAATGTTCTAGAACCAGCTCAGACTGAAACAACGAAAGCAAAGCACCTTGCTCAGGAACAAAAAAAATGACTACCTCGTGGTAGCTCTAACTGACTCGTCTCTACGGTATAGGCTCATCTAACGCATGCATATTGGAAATATTTTAACACAGGTCCCACAAGACACGTATGTAGTTGGACTTCGGAGCCTCCAAGAGCCCCCCCCCCCACCCCCCCCCCACCCCCATCACACACCGTGGCCAGGCTCTGTCACCACCTTGCAAACCCTCCCAAGGCCTCCTCTTGTAACTAATTGACTCATGCTTCCAACGGAAGTAATTTACTAGCTAATTTCCACTTACTTAAACGTGCCTCCTGTGATTGAGAGCCCTGGCTGTTGTTTTAAAGGCCTTTTTTCAGGTCACAAGCAAAAGTACGCGTTCTTTGAAAAGGTGTATGCGTGTAGCTCCTCGCACTTTTTTGTTTAATGCAAAAACCGGAGCAGAAGTCAAGTACACGACCCTCCTTCCTCTTGCAATACGGAAACCAACAATTAGAACGCAGCTACGTGCACATCCTGACCTTGCACTGGTCTGCTGTGCCAGATGATATAGCCTTATCAGGTATTTTCTTATTCTGTAGATTAAAGAGATCTTAGAGATCTGTATTGTTACTTTATCCAACACATCGTAAACGCTATTAGATAGACTGGTTGGTTGACTTTGAGGAACTATAGGCAAAGATGATGACAATTACCTTCACAGTGGAATCCGTCCGCTGAGACCTTCAAGCCGTCAGGGCAGAGACACCTGAAGTTATAGCCGACCTGCTCGCATCCATAGGCGCATCTATCTGGGTGACACCTGTAATCCACTTTGACAATAAATACGAACAGGGATGAGATAAGTCATTCAAAATACACGTTTTGACTTGGAAGAGTTTAGCCATTTGGTGAGAACAGAGTTTCTCATAGTAGTCAGTGACGGCATCCAAATGAGATGTATGTGACCAACATGTGATCAGCAGGGCCTATCCCATCCAAAATACATCCTTCCTAACCCCTTTCACTTTTTAGACCATATTTAGGAAACTATAAGACATCAAATAAAACAGACATCCCGAATAAGCAACTACAAAAAACATACGATTAATGCAAAAACATTAAAGTGTAATTATATTAATCGCATGAACAGTCCTCAGATCTTGAAGACAGGACCACAGCAAGAAACCAATGCTTCATACAATAAAAACAACACATTTCACATTCCGCGTCAAGATGGACAATAATCTTATTTTTAAAATTATGTTAATGAACGATGCCGAAGACGACCATTTTTAAAAACTTACGGTGACACGTGACCTTATCCTCAAGCAGCACGTGACCTGTCGGGCAAAAACAGCGGAAACTGCCGATGCCGTTCACACATCTGTGCGAGCAGGGTTTGGTACTACACTCGTTAAAATCTAAATGCACACAAATAAAACGATAACAATGCTATGTCACACTTAAAATGGTCCTGAGTACCAAGAATCAATATTTGGCCGGACTTGTAATTGCAGATTCAGATGAGTACGAAAGGCAGTAGCGGGGTATGTTAAGCGGAGCACTGGTTGCATTTGGAAGTGGGAAATGCCGATATGCCAAGTGTTGGTAAACACTTTCTGCGTTTATCCTCATACAATATGCACCTACAGTTTACTCAACCATGGAGGAATGTGTTCTTATTCCTCCATGACTCAATACTTCAACCTTCGAGGGCAACCTAACGTCATAAATGTCACCAGAAAAGTTTTCAGCTTGAAACTAAATGCATGAAATTAACTTCTCTTGAGTAATGACTGGGTGAAGAACCCATGTTATCCTCGCAAAGTTTCACTCATTAATACTGTTCTGGTACAAATACTTGATAGAAAGGTGAATTGGATCCATAAGTGTGTGAATACATGACTCAGTTTTTACCTCGATCGCATGTCGCGCCTGTGTAACCCTTATCACACTGGCAGCGGTTTGGCCCAACACATTTACCATGGTTGCATCCATCTTCACAGATTGCTGTTGATATAACAAACATAACACACAAATGTTAGCTTTATAAAATGATAAAGATAAAAATTAATGTGAGTGCATTTAGTGTGTAAACTGGCCTCCCCAAACCTTTGCTTACCAGGGTATAGGGCCTAGGGAATATTTAGGGAACATACAGAATTGAGGTAAACATTGCCTGTCCAGTTAAACACAGATTTTCACCTTGGTAAAAACAGCACCATACAAGAACCAGTGCCTGTTATTATGTTATTTAATGCTAAACTCAGCAACTTTGCTCATCTTCTTTATATTTCTACGAAACCCTGGCAACGTATATTTATTAGTTTGCCACATTTATAACACATGACGGAGGCTTCGATTCCAGAGTTGAAGGTTTCGGAAGTACGGTGCATTCCAGGTCGGAGCACGAGCATTATACGCAGTCAGTTTTAACTCCTGGATTAACCCTGTCGATGGATTGACCACAGAGGTGCCTTCCCAAGCTCACCGCGCCCCCTCCCCCTGCTAAACCAATTAAAGCGACTGATTCTTGTGAACTTATCACCTTACTTCGTTTTTGCACATGCTCAGTCCATTTCAACATCCACTGTGTTTTCTATGTGGATTCAGCAACTTTTCTTCCATTTTTTGAGGTATATACAGAAACGGCAATACGTTTTTAACGAACTACGGGCACCCAGGTTAATGCATTGTATATTTCCTTTCATTCATGGTGATACTACTTACATTCCCGGCTGAGGCCAAACATTGATTTTATATGTTCTTTCCCCATTCTCTCTTCCCTGTTCTTCTCTGTCCTCCCATTTTAAACTTCAGGGACTTCGGGGAGACCATTATATGTGCACACTGATCGGTTTACTCTGAACATCAACGTATCTGTCTATTGAATTGTGAGGTTTAGACTCACTTCATCCGCACTATTAGGCATCATGGCCTTATTTCCAGCAGCAACAAGTGCAATCAACAATAAGTAAGTCGGAAGCTCCAATAAAAGTCACCGAAATAACATCCTCGAGATCACCTACCGGAAAGCCGTTATTGCTTCAGAACATGGAAGTCTCATTAGAGTCAGGTGTCGTACATGCGAGAGATTTCAGGGGAACATTGATGAGAAACATGACTGGGGGCTGACACATGGGAATCATGTCCTGGAAATTGTTCGTCACTTGAACCGTGAAATCCAGACGATTGCTGATCCGGTCCACTTCCCGCCCAGTCTCGTCCGGGTCTTTTGTGGCGATGATGATCACTATAACCCCTTATTATTATTGAGACTGACATCCAGGCGAAAACACTTCCGAGAGATCTATGTATGACATTTGTTGTAATAAACCTTGGATATTGCACTAAAATTGCTGGGATGTTATCAGACAAGTGCAGAAATAAGCTTCCCTCCCTCATCCAACCCAACTGAAAATCTTGAATTGGCGGACCAAAAAAATGTGCACGGAATCATTAGAACCGAAAGAATGATTTATAAAAACTGCTCAACAATTTCGAAAGAACCCATCATTTCAAGTACAAAATTAAGGTTGCCAGTGTTCAGTAATCCACTATTCCCGTCTGATATCTAACGTTCGACAGGTGTTTCAATTCAGTATAGATATCACACGGTGTAAACTGAACACCACAATTTTTGCAGTAAAGATGACGAGAAAAATAGAAATTGTTTTGTTTCTCAAAGATCACAACGGATGCTGAGGGATTTCAGCGTAAAGAGGTGCGGCAACCAAAGTAGAGAAGTTAAAATAACAATCAAAGTTTCAGAATAGATTTGATATTCCTTTTCGATCTTCCGCAAGCACGTAACTTGTTTACCTCTTCAGGCTAATCAAATCGCCCTTGAACTAGCCTCTGGCTTCAATTTGTTTGACACCAAATTCACCAATATTTCTACAATCTGTGATCTCCTCGTATTCATAAACAGAAAAAATACGCATTTTGGTAGAGAGCGGTTGGGTGGCATAAGGAAACAATATAGCGTCGATCCCCCGGTCGTATCAGTCACTGAAACCGTGAACCTGTGCTGATGGTACAAAATTCAAAAATGTGTAGGACTTATACTGAGGATTATTGTCAACCAAACTAATAACGCTCTTTTCCCTGATAAGCCTAATGCCAAAACCGATGAGATATGTTGGCTTAAATTTCAGACGTCTGCGGCAGAATCAAATGTGGAAGCCGTTAATTGTCTCAATCGTCTCTCGAGAACTATTGGTGGGCGAATTATTTTCCTTGGAAGTAAACTCGAAACCAACAACTAAACTCCTTCAGTGTAAGCGCGTAAACGATCTGGTTCCCTATTAACGGGTCATGTTATCCCGATATCAACATGATTATTCATGATAAAGCGCAGCAGGTTCCACTCTACCTGCTAAAGATAGACAGGCGGTCTAGACTGCGGGGGGAACTTGTTAAGGAAACGTAGTGGCATTTGTCACCCCTTCCCCTCCCGTATGATGGACCCAGTGTGCCTCCAAAATGTATCTGGTAGAGGATACCGCGGTTGTGTAATTACTCTAGGAAGTGAAGCCGAGCGGTCATGGGCGCTGACGGTCAGGTAATGTCTAGCCAGTAAATATAATGAGGATACCGCAGAAAAGGGGAAGCTCTTCTGATTTCAACATCCCAGACGCTAATTTGTCATGATTTGGGACCACAGAAAATATCTTACATCTCTAAGGTTTACCGAGACTTTCTGACACTGATTATATCCCGCAAAGTCTATTTTATCTTATTCCATCCGATTTGTAATGAAACGCAAGCAGAGAAGATAAAATAAAAACACAAAACTACTAGGTAATGGGAGGCCTTCTCTCTGCTGAAATAGACAAAAGATACAAAACCGACATGGCGCTTTGGAATAGATATACATGTACTATTTTTTATTGAAAAACGGTCTAAATCGTGTCACTATAATATGTCTGCAGCATTTCACATCTAATTATCAGTTCACTTCGAAGAATATAGAACTTGTTCTTCACTTTGGTGAAAGCAAAGGACTGCCTTAATAAGCCTTTAGATGGGAGATGGAAAAGGGGTCCACTTATCTGATCTCACAAAGTCAAGGTCAAGAACGGACTTTTTGCCCTTTTAAATTTATTTGATAATCGTAACAGCCCATATTGTATTCCACACTAGTAAAACCATCCACCACATGGCAAACTCGTGATGAATCGAGGTCAGTGAGTTTGACTTGGCGGTTTGGGTGCTCAACACGCTTGAGTTTATGTGAGCCTCCATAAAAACAGGTCCTGGAAAAACATCTCGGAATTTTGTTTTGTCATGCCGCACGCGATAGAGCTTCCTGTACGACACTTTAGTGGTTGATGGCAAGGACTGAGCTGTGATCGCAAACTTATTAGCTTCTAATTAAAATAACACGAACTTTTCAACGAGGGAAGAGAAACATGCTTCCTACACCGTGCTCTTTAATTTTCACCCTATAACGTAGAAGGTTTCTCAATTGAAACAGGGGAAACACAAATTTACACTTGCTATCCCGATACAAACAACTCATTGTAACCCCGGATCTTTCATTTATTACGGGTAATGTTTCGTTGCCATTCTTCAAAATTCCAACTATATATACCCTCTATTAATTTGTAATCCGCCCCTTGAATAAATGTCATTGATCATGTTGATATGCGGTTCCGATCCGTAGAAACATGTTTGTGATTAACAAAGTCTGGTGCCTTCGACACTTGAGGTCCGTTGAATCGGCCCACACATGAACGCAACCACGATGGCTCTGTGAGCCCTCAGTCTACAATCCTGGCCAAATCTCGCTGGGCACCCAACCCCCCGGCCCCCTGTTAATGTTGTCTCTCATTGCGCGGTGTGTGCTCCATCAGCTGGAGAGAACAACATTGACCGGGGGAGCGGGGGAGTGGGTAACCGTGAAAGGCTAAGGTTATTTCCAAGTGTCCCAACCATTTTGGCCGGGATTGTAGCTCCCAGTCTCTTTGGCAATAGGCCCTTCCCCAGGTCACACTTAGGCCTACGTGATTAAGTTGTTGTTCACTTGAACCGTGACCGTTGGCCTGAACTTCTTGACCCACCCAGGGATGACCGCAGGACCCTTCTATTTTCGGACAGCGGGATCCTTGGGCTTAATTATCACAATTATAGCCAAGTTTCCAAATATAAGATGGTTCGACTCACGTGCACATTCCGCTCCGTGGTACCTCCATCCGTAGCAACACTCCCTTCGACGGTACTCTCCGTATCTACAGAACGCGACCCTGCTTTGGATTGGATAACGATGCCTCCAATACTGCAATTGATACCGGGCCCGTAAGGCACCGATGTCGGCACTGGAGTGGGAAACAAAAATGTAACACTTTATTGGGAAATGTGATTTTTGTTCCTACCATTTTATTTAGAACCTGTATTGTGACACTGCGATGGTCTTAATCACTTGTAAAGTTTGCTTTTCTTTCTCTTTCCCACTTTGTTTCACCTAACTGTGTAAATACCACCTCAGTGATCGGAAAGTCTTAGACGGCGGAAGCGGAGGGGAGGGGTTGCTCGCCAACTTTTAGATACCTGCTACCGAACAGACATAATTCGCTCTTTGCACGCTTCCGCTATCAGCATGCAGAGCCTCGATCGGGCAACTTTACACAATGAATAATATAGCCGGTTCAGTGGTTCCAGTGTCGGGGGGGGGGGGGGTTCCGTGATTCCCGTGTATCGTGTATACACGGGAATTACTAAAGGGGCTATTTTTATTGAGTAAAGTTGCCAGATCGAGGCTCTGCGTGCTGATGGCGGAGCGTAAAAAGAGCGAATTGTGACCCCACCGCAATTGGATAAACGTTCCACCAACACTGAAGTCCTTGTTGTGAAATATTGATGAAATTGACCTAAATTGGCCAATTTTGTTACACAATTTTTAAATTGGCAAGCGATGACTTTAAGACAACAGGCAGACAACCATTAACTTGTCCAGCGTTGCTTTAAAGGGCGTTTATATCTGCAATAAAAGGGTGTTAAATGTACAGCGAAAAGGGTGTTAAATGGTCAAGGTGTTGTTACTCTGGATCCAAATCAAATGTGTTAATAACCAATAGTGTACAACTTCTTCAAAGTGGGTGTGAAGGGTTTTGTATATTTGTAAGTGGTGACATCGATTACCAGTATAGGACATAACCATCACCAACAACCAGTTATATTGTGTGACGGAATCAAATCATCAACAATTTAAGTCCGCTATACGAAAAGAAAATAATCTAGGGGTTAATTATACTACTACACTTTGTCTGAGAATGACACTGTGCATTTAGTCTCCGCCATGAGTGCATCTCTCTGCCACACACAAATAACAATTATTACATGAACAACAAAACCACAACCAAAAATTAAAAAAGAGGTGGGCGCAGCCTCGGCGTTTCCTGATTCATCCGTTTGTATAATCGTATAGGGTTTTCGTGAACCTTTTCCAATCTTTCAAAACTTACTTTGTCCCCAATTCATTTTATTTGATGGTGCTATTTCCAAGATATTCCCAATGCCACTCCTACATTCATAACAGCAATAATACGTGATTCTCAGATTTCCGCTGATAACTTCTAGACAGGTGATTACATGTACCTTGTTTTCTAAACCCTGGGATTTGCGCCCTGGTTCTGAAGTGAATCACCGGATTATCTAGGCACCTAGTGGTGTGGCTTATCATCACGTACGTCATGATAGACTGAGGTTCTTTTTGAAATAAGAAAAAGTCGATCCAACTTGAGTTCAAACACAAGCCAAAGTTTGGTGCGAAACAAAAAATATAAGAACCAATATGACAAGCTGCATGATGAGTACAAGTGCAATCCATCTTTAAATAATGTGCAAATCAGTATTATTATTAGCATTATTTTTTTTAGAAATTCCTTCTTTTGGCCAAAAATTAGTTGATTTGGTCAGTATTGGAGTTCAAATCCAATTATTGTCTTGTTATTCAAATAGTTAACAGAGTTAACACACAGCGGCACGATGTTATTGTTAGATGTGCATCTATACGTCAGTGAACACTGAACACGGTGGGAAATGGTGGGAATTGTACTCAACCTTTCATCTACTCCTGTAATTTCAACTGCCGCGTCAGCTGGGACAGGTGGATGATCGCTGTTTACACAAGATTAATACATCGGGTAAATATTAATGTCATTCATCAAAACAGCCTTGCAATTGCGTCAGTTGTATATGTAGGCCTTCATGCAAAGTTAAATATGGCGATGAAAAATTTAACGCAAATGTTAAGTTTGTAGGCACGGGATGCAAACATTTAAACAACGGTAAACACTTAATGGTAACATTTTCCATGCATATTACAGACAAAAACCCCACACATGCTATACAAACGTGATTAGGCAAACTTTAATACGAACCTTAATTTACCTCATCTCAATTAAAAAAAACCTGTCGAGGTTTCACATGTCTTTTTCTGACATGTGATTGTAGAATCTTAGTTTTATATGACAACCGCAGCTTGCACGTGGCAAGTTCACATTTTGAATTTCCCGCACTGAATGTTGTTTCTACATGACTTGCATTCAGGCATACACGCTTACGCCATATAATATACAGCAAAGAATTTGATGTATAAAAACCCATGCTCACAAATAACGACAAATAAGTACAATGTGGCGCCCTAATGTGATTCATGTCCGTTGTGAACAGTATAGTTTTATGAATTTGATTACTTTGCGACCAACGTTCAGATTTGTATCACGTTAGAACACAGTTCAACATATACTGTGGCCCTATATCAAAGGACGAAACTGGGCTATGCAACATGTATTTCAAACAAAATCTCATACAGTATCCCTATATTTCTTGAAGTATGACCACAAGGATGACTATGATAAAAGTGAAGGAAATTAAGGCGCAAGTGATTGATCAAATATCGAAGAACTTCCAGGGTGGAGTTCTGTCGTCATGAACAGCTGTCCAGAAAGAAAAAAATAACCAAAGAAAAATATCAGCAGAAGTCGCTATGCGTCATCATTGGACACCCATCGTGAATCACGCTGCAAATGCCCACTGATGACTTGCAAGGAAATTAGTGCATATGTGATCTTATAAATCCTGAAAAATAAATATTGATGGATTTATCGACGACATACCTTTCCCCTTGATTTGTGGTATTAATTGTAAAGACGAATCAGAGTCCCCAAAGCTGGGCAATAAATATTTAACTGTCAGCTATATGAAGTATATACGTTTTGTGTTCTTTTTGCCCTGTTTGTGTTGAGCTCACTGGACACTTGTTTCCCAGTAGTTCGGGCCGACTCAAAACTCACCAAACTACATACATGCATAAGCAGTTGGTGTTTGTACACTTGTTGCTTTGGTTTTTGGGCTTCTCGGGCCAACTCAAAACCCACACAACAGTAGATGTGTATAAGTTTGCTTTGGTTTTGGGAGCATGCATACGGAAGTCCAGATGGGACATACAATTAGCAGCCGCGCCTGCATGATGTCCATCACTACACGGCTGGATAAAAATGCATCAACGATTGAAACAACCAATGCCAATTACGACGAACATTTTGATACAGTCAGAAACTTATTTGAGTCATACATGTACATGCAAGTCACGTCAACATTGCCTAACCACTTCACGAGATACATTTTTTTTTTTAGATCCTTCAGAAGGAGGGTGCCAGACTATTCGTCTTGTTTGCAACAATAATAATGCATTCGGACCCAGAACGGTATGAGGTGACACTTTGTTATACTCCTTATTAATTGTATCTATTTCATCGTTTTTATTCCCATTTATTTGTGTGTCTTTAAACAAACTTGCAGGGTTCGCCTCATTTTCAATCCAAAATGGCGGACCCATGAGCCAAATAATACGAACATGTGAATCAACCATTGCGCGAATGACTTTGTACGAGTTAATAAACCACCCATCCCTACCAACCCTCAAAAAAGGGAAAATTACCAAGCCACGGAGCTGTATATATCATTTATATGTTACCGGGGAAGAGTAAACGCTACCTTGAGGATCCGTGAGCGAATAATCCATGGGCTTTTGACCGCACTAATCCATGTAACCCGGACCAAGTGTAAGTTAAATTCTAGCGATTTGTATTAGTTGGGTGCATAACTCGATTTTCTTTTGCGTGAGTGAGCCAGTGCGCTTGGAGCCCATCTATACCATGTCATAGATGACGTGAGTGAGCCAGTGCGCTTGGAGCCCATCTATACCATGTCATAGATGACATATTTGACATTTCCCGTCTGGCTAGCCACAGTCTCCTTCGAGCCATGATTCATTGTCACGTTCTTGACACTTTGCTCCTATCCTGCCCAACCTCCATAATCATAATGTAGTCCATAGTCATCTACGTGACCTGCCCCTGCTTTGCTCCTTCGGTCCAAAAATATGTTCGGAAAATATTCAATTTTTCAAAATTCAAAAAGCTGAGCCTTAATATGGCTTCTTATTTGGCAAATCACTCATGCAGCTGACTAATAAAACGAACAACCTCAATACCACTTGCTACAACTACAAACCTCGGTGGCAGGATTATTAGGGAGTATTATTACTGATGAGAACATGTAACTTATGTAAACCAATCCAAATTGAATGTTTCATGGCGTCGAATCGTCTTTGCATTCGCTTCAAGTATAATCCAGACATTCTTATGAAGGAAATTATAATAGAAACTTGAAATATAGGGCTGGACACACCTGGGGCGTCAAACACGTGTGCAACCAAAGCCACGATGACACATCTCACGACAAATCTCTAAATCTCCTCACAATCCACCTCGGCGTATAACGTTGTCATGCTTATTTTCTTGCGCTTCCTGTGTTACCTCCTGCCTCATACCCTGGACTCCCAGGACCCTCTAAACTTATACTTGATTTCAAGTCGGTAAATTATGTTTTGTTCCGTCGACTCTGCCGGTTATCTATCAGCACGCCGCCGCTTTACATGCACAAAATGTGAATTGATTTGTGTTCACTATCGTCAGCTTTGAGTCGAAGATCTCGCAGTGAGTGGGAATCGTAGGGAATGAACACTGGTATGCTGCACTATACACATGATTGTGCATACGCGCTAGTCCATTCCGGACTTGAAACCAAGTCTACTCCAGACCCCTTCTCAACAGCTGTACACTTGTCGACTTTGCGCCAGCTTACAGAGGGAATTCCAGCTTCAGTGATGTGTCACAACATCGTCATGTTGGGCGTAATTGGTGGCGAAATACCGAAAGTGAAGAATGATTTCTCATGGGCTAAGGGCGGGCTCAGAATGCTTGGCACATTTTAACTTTGAATTCTCCAGACCAAAGACACTGTTGCTAATCACAAGATTCGGGGCAAGCTCTTGCATAGTTACGTAACTTCGTAAGAGACGCTCAGCACCAATACATGGCACAAAGACACCAGACCATGCCGGAGCTGGGGGTTGCTAGCATAAGGCTTGCCCCGAATCACGTGATATTGTAACAGTCTCTTTGGTCGGGAGAATGCTAGGTTAAAACGTGCAAAGCATTGTATTAAGTCAGCGTTCCAGATTTTATTCAAATTTCAAGTGATAGGCGGTGAGATAGGTCCAACTACAAAGAAGACACCGGGCTGGCCCTTTGGGACTTGCAAACATACTGACATTTCCCCATCCAACAACCTCTTGATCATGCAAGAGTGATGAAAGTAATATTGCGAATTCAATATTGAATCGTGTACATGTACCTATGACCTCGAGACGAGGGATTCATAAACGGATCGATCAGTTCTTGACTGTCTTACTATATACATGTAGTATTACACAACTCCTCGTGATGGCGTTCTGCTTTGTGCAACCACACCCGCTGTCCGCTATGTGCAATCTTTATGATCGGGTATTCGACTGACTTGAATTGAAAGGTAGTGTCAATGCCTGGAGGATGTAAACCCACAAAAGTGAACAAGAGGACATACTATTAGACGCTACGTGGGGTACCTTACCAAACAAAACAAGCAGGGTGAATGAACTAAACAATGGCCATCCTGCCTATCCAGTGACACAGGATGCGTTAAGCTTAATCAACCGAGGAAGAATGCCTTTGTCTGCTTTTGCCTGCCATAGTTAATTGAAAGTACAAGAACCCCATCTTAGTTGAGGTCGTGAGAAACTGAAAAAGAACAGAAGTTAATAAAAAGTATTCGACTCCGTAACTTCGGGACCTTTATCAACAGGAACAAAAAGTAAGTCACGATTCCGCACTGGCGCATATAGTATTAAAAGAGTCAAAGGCCATTCTTCCTCTTTCTATCAGTATGAAGAGGGATTCACGCAGTCAGTTGTCAGGACAGGAAAAAAACTGAGATGAATAAGCCATTTGCGAGTAAACTATACCCTTTGGGATTTAAATTTGAAAAACATCTGGTACACTGACTTGCTCAGAATGCTTGGCACATTTTTACTTTGAATTCTGCAGACCAAAGACACTGTTGCTAATCACACGATTCGGGGCAAGCTCTTGCATAGTTACGTAAGAGACGCTCAGCACCAATACATTGTTCACAATGGGTGAGAATGGCACAAAGACACCAGACCATGCCGGAGCTGGGGGTTGCTAGCTTAAGGCTTGCCCCGAATCACGTGATATAGTAACAGTCTCTTTGGTCGGGAGAATGCAAAGTTAAAACGTGCAAAGCATTGGATTAAGTCAGCATTCCAGATTTTATTCAAATTTAACTCGCAAATGGCTTATTATTACAATTTGAATTTGTTTTCTGACAAGAACGCCATTTGTAGTTTATTGGCCTTCTGCAACATATATGTCGAGGATCTCTGCAAGAGAGATTTTAGGCTAGGTGGAACGAACATTTTGATAAACTCGATTAATAATAAGTAAAGGTGATATCGCGGTGCTCGTCTGTGAATTTACTATGGGTGAACATCGTCACTGCTTTAGGCCGCATTATGCAACTTAGACAATTATTTGATACTTCCGATTTAGACACTTCAACCATCGCAAACTATCGTCAACCATCGCAAAGTCTGGTAACGAGTTGGTGCATGTGTGAAGCAGGCAGTTGGAGTTTGACAGAATGGATTCGGAAAAATGACATCTCTTGAGTTATTGTTTGCAGATTATACAGGAAAGACCTCTGTATCTCTGAGAAGGCTGCGAATTTCCTCACAGAGTGACATCGATCATGTAGTCTCACTGGATTTCAAACAGATATTAAAAGCTCTGAAATCAATATCAGGGATTCGATAAACAGGAATCCGTATAGAATTTAGAAAGCAAGTTTGGCAAGAAATGAATAGGTCTCAACCGCAGCGGAAAGTGAACCCTATACCGACGGCTTCATGCTACATTGCATCCAGACATAACTGGTCAGCAAAAGCGGCCTCAATCACGAGCCACTGCGCCACAACTGGCTTGCGATTGGCTGAACGGCGTGTAGTTACTGCATACAGACGCACGTATCTAGTCAGGAGTTATCACCCACTTTATCATCCGTATACTTAATGGCAAACGACTTTTATAGTTTTCTTTTTTTATCGCATCCTGACAACAACACACATGTAAATATTAGCCACTCCATTCACAACTCCATGTTAAAATTGATGTTATCTTGGCGGTATCAAATCGTTGGTTGATAACGGACAGCAGTGACCCATGAACAGGTGCATTGTTCCCCATTCAAAAATGGTTCATAAATTAGATGTCACCCTCAGTGAATCACGTTAATTTGACATTTTTCTCTCTAAATTGCATTGATCAATATGTAAACGTTCAAATGTCAGTCTGCATACTAATATCCAAGAAAAATGCATCCGGACATTCAAGTAAAATTCGTGTGATGCATAGTACATTCAAATTACAATTTTGTGATGAACTTCAATGATCGGAAGAATTACATAACCAAAGAATACGTGTACATTTATATCACTGTTAAGTGCCGGTGCTTGATACACCACAGATATACAATCCACCAAATAAACTATTAAGCCACACCCAGCAAGCACGTCCTGTTTATTTGTGTTTGTATTATAGCCAGCGTGGCACACTGGCTTGCGACCAGTAGAGAACTTGTTGGAGGCATTCCATTGTGTAATAAATCATAACCTGTATGAATAACAAGTTGGAAAATGGTTTGATTGATAGTGGAGTTACAAGAACTATCTGGGTTGTCTTAGAAACGGTTCGAGAGCTCAGCCTGTATACAAATCGCATGCAAAATGAAACGATGTTTTTGTTGAATCTAGGATTAACCCTTGTGTATGTTGTATCAATAGGTTGCGTTGATGAGGATTGCAGGTTGCACATGTACCTTTGCTACTACCTTTGTTACTTGAGGGTGACTTATTTTTTTGGTTGCGATGCCAGCACGTCTTGAAAGTATTTATTTATTTGAAGTGGGCTGTTGTGCAAATGCTCAAAGATCATCTTGAAAAACCTCTGCATAATACTAGCTGAAAGAATGTTAATTCCAAATGTAGTAAGCATGTGCAGGCTAACGAAAACTTACGTGGTAAATTAAACTCCATTTTGAAATAACATGTACATATGTAAATCAATGACATTGTATGTTGAATTTCAAAGATGATTCTCAAGCCAGAATTTCCTTCAACTCATTCCAATACTTTGGCAGGTCATAACATTATACATCGCCAACATTTTCTTGGCACAGTAAGATATGAAATGATATCACCAAACGAAAAAAACCCCCACAAAAACAAACGCCCCTCCTGTTAGACGCATTAGTGCCTGTAATCAAGTGCAAAGTAGCACCAAAGCACTTCCGCGCCCTCCAAATAACTAGTCGTAAATAAAAATATCACCAGTGCAAGTATTGTCGCCATAAAAGTGAGGGTACACTTGCCTGGGGGAATTTCGCTCAATCATTGAAATTAAGTGTCCGATGATAGACTCAAGTCCTGCAGTTTTTAATAAACGACTTTGGGCTGGTTTATCACCCCACTGCTAATCCTCACTAGCCACAGTGTGCTGGATTCTGACTGATTTTTCCTTACCATCTGTTGACACGGTTACAAGGCAGGTCCCAAAGGAATTCCTCAAGTAGCGAACATATGTGCGAGTTTATATAAAACTGACGGGCCCACTTCATCTCCGCCTAAAGGAAGTGAGGAACAAGCCAGGGCCATCCTATTTACACTCGCCGGGGGAGTACATGTAGGCTGGTTTTTCCCCACTGGACTTGTTTGACAAGACGTAGGCAAGACCCCTAATTTCACCCACGACACATTAAGATCAATATTAATGTTCTCCGCTTTGACATGTGACTGGCCTCATCACTTCTTCATCGGAAAATGCTGGTGCTGCCACTGAAATGCCCAAATAAGTTATTGTATTTGTAATGTAGGGTACCCGTTTTGAATTAGCAGTTGTTTTAACTTCAATCATGATCATGCCTCAATACACTACCGTATATAAAACAAAATACTTCGAAAGAAACAGGGAAATATATTTCAACTCACCCTTGGCATAGACATGCGAACAATCCCACACTCAGCAGGTAAATAGAAACATGCATCTCGCTGGTTTGCAGTATACTTCTGTCTCAATTGTCTGATTGTTAAAGTCAGTAACTTCACTGCTTCCCTTTTGCGGGCGTGGCAGCTTCTTCCAGCGCTTTGCAGGAAGACGCAAATAATGCCAAGAATGTTGCCTAGAGCTCTAATTCAACAATCCTAATTGTCGCTTCAGTTGTAGTGGACCGTGTCTTTATTCGAGTTAGCGGCTTTATTAAGTTTCCCGACCTATAAGATGTATCGAACGGCAAGTCATTAGTTGTTGCCACTCCGCCGTCTAAGGAGAAACGAAAGCGTTAGGAGAGTTTATCGACATCTATGGTCACGTCGATTACAGAGCGACTTTCTCTTGCGATTGACTTCTTGAATTCAGTCCACCACGCTCCAGTTGCCTCCACTTGTGTTTTGTGACAATGGACCAGCTCTCCCAAAACGTCTCTTTGTTCAGCGCCTTAATTCCAGCTGGCTTATATAGTAATCCCGCGTCCTTGCTTAAGTTGCAATTACTGGATTGGCTGTTGTTTAAAAGAAACAAAGATACTGACGAACTTTTGGCGTTTCCCTCGCAGGGTTCGACAAGGCCTACAATTTGGACTATAGTGATGGCCGCTCAGTTTGCGATCCGGCGATAATATATGTACAGGCATGCGTCCTCACACAGCCAGAGTGACTTGGAGACTGACGAGCTGATCAGGAGTTGTATCCGGTCGGTCGGTGGGTTGGCGCACTGGATGGACTCCAAGCCGCGCACGTCAGTTCATTAACCAATGCCTGCACGTGTTCCAACCCCCCGTGTCATTCCACACAGCACCCTTCAGAATTCATTACACGTGATTCGTATGCAAGAGCACTGCGTTAAGGAATGTTCAACTATTGTATGGAGCCAACTGATATACATGTATAAAGAACTTAAACGCAGGTCGTACCATTTTGTAATGAAACTAAAACCAGCAGTGGTCATAAAATGGAATCTGTTTTGCCGTGTTTTTTTTTGTTTATTGCAGGGCCTGCCTGAGATACGAATCCAATGGTGACAATCGACTATCACATTTCTGCGGTGAAAAAAAAAACACCTACAAGCTTCCAACGCCCTACTTCCTCTTAAAGTTTGATAATTACAAATGGTTTATTGATTAAAGAGATTGACATGGCAGCCCAGGGGCTGAATTACAACAAAATTTACATATATTAAAAAACATAAACATTAAAAAGACTAGTAATAAACAAGGAATATTCAACCAAAAAAATATAAAATAAATACACACTTGCAAGTAGACAAGAGATAAAAGAGAGACAAGATAAAACAAGACGTAGACAAGACAAAAGACAGGACAGGACAATACAGGACTAGACTAGACATCCAAGTACTAATTAACTAATTTAGAACAAAAACCTGCAAGTTATTAAAAGAAATATCTTTAAAAAACACGCCAATTTAAGAAAATATATATGCACCATTGAAAACAAAAGTTAGCATCAAACAAGTCAAGGTCAAGACAAGACAAGACTAGACGTCAGCACGAGTCCTGTTTATATGTCCTGAACTAAAGAAGGAAGACGATGAAACATTTGATTGATTTTCATGTAATTTATTTAAAAGTAATGTTTACGCCCCAATCAGACAACACCTCATTATGTCCTGAATTAGAATACATTCATTAATTGAATATAACAATAATCACCTCAAGTTCGTAACATGTATAAAGGCTCGGAGTAGCGAGATTCAGAGAATACTTTACCCATAACATCCCTTTATCACAAGTTCGGGGATTAATGCAATTCATCCATTTCACCCCGGTCCCATTATATATCAAGCTGTCAGATTCTATTCCAAGAACCTTTTTGATTGAGCCACACATGTATTATATTCTATCGATATTTATTTGAGAATCATGAACCCGCCACTCTCTTTCTGAATGCTGTATGGAGAAGGGGCTCACATGCTCATGGTTTGAACTCGATCTGTCCTTGCAGACAGGAGAGTGACTCATGATGACGTCACGGGTACCCTCCCTCCTTCTTGATTCGTCTGATGAGACATCGTCTAGCCGAAGACGAGTTCTAGGTCTTGCGTCCCCGGACTGACTTTGTGTACTGCTGCTCTCAGCCAGGTCAGACCGTGAACTTTCAAAGCTGGAAAGTTTAAATGATCTGCTTTCGATCTTCAAGTGACAACTGGTTTTATGAATAAGATGTGTTCTTCTGGGTGTGGGCGGGGGACATTTGGATACGATCAAGGATTTTTGCTGCAAGTGAGGCAGGTTCGACCGTCCTCTATCGTCATACCACTTCGTCTTCATCATTGTCATTGTCATAATGTCGTTTAGCGTCGACGTTGTTATCGACAGCGCTGATATGTTTGTCCTGTGTCGTCCATAATTATCGCCATGACTGAATTCTCGGCCACATTGACGTTACTGGAGAGGGGGGGGGGGGGGGGGGCAGGTGGCGTGACTATGGGGGTGGGGGGGGGTGGGGGTAGGGGCGCACATTACTCCCCCAGCGGAGGTCCATCCCCCCCCCCAGGTTGCCCCCATTTGAAATCTTGAATTGCACACAAACAATATATCAGTTGCCTTCAGTGACCCCTTGAAAAACTGGTGTACCTTCAAGTGCCCCCTAGAAGTTTACCCCTATATACGCCGCTGCTCTGCCATCGTCATCGCCATCAACACAATCATCACCACTGTCACCCCATCTTTACCATCCCTACCATTGTAACCAGCATCATTATCTCTCAACCTTCAAGCACATCACCATCACCATCACAGTGGAGGATCCAAGGGGGCGGTTGGGTCGGTCCCCCCCCCCCGCATGTTAATTATTTACATAATAGAAAAAATCCCAAATTGTCCTATGTCCCTTAATAACGTCATCACCAAATAATGCAAGTATTGATTCATTGTTTCAGGCCTTTGTTTTTATGCGTTGACTGCAGACTGCAAGTGCAACGTCTTATTCCCCAAATTGAAATTATAAACTTAAACACCCCAGCAACCCCCTTTCACCATCTTTATCATGTGCATGTACATCACCTTAATTAACACCTCCATTTCTAATTCTCTCCAGACACTTCTCGCCTATTATCTCCACCATTTCCTTCTTTCATTTTCTTATCATTATTCAGTGATAGCTTCATCACATGGCGGATGAGTTTACCACACCGTTTTGCATTTCCTGATCCCGTAGACTGTTTTTTTTGGTGATAAACAAGTTGCATTATTTTTAAGTCGTGCCTGTGGTAAGCCACAGATACCATGATGACGTCAGTAAGAAAGATTTTACCATCTTTTCTCCTTTTTGAGACCCGGACCGGAAACCGCTTGGAAACAGCATAGGCATATGTCATTGCAATCGTGTTTACTCAGAAAAAATAGTAATGTTCACCACATGTTTTTGAAGAACAAACAAACAACACAGAAGTAAACTGTCTGTACAAGCATGCCAGTTAAAATATAGTCAGACTTGAAGATTGACAGTGTGGCATTTATCAATCATATAGAAAAGAAACGCAATCTTTGAGTCATTAAAATAAGAATGCTTTATTATCTTTTCCTTTCCCGAGTTTCCAAATCAAAACTACAACTTTTTAACTCGAAACAGTGCTGCAAGGATACTATTTCACCAATCAACTGCTGGAAAAAAAAAACATCCTCGACTCCAAACTCTCACGTTTCGCCAACTTGAAATGTCACTTTTGTCACTTTTGCCTTTTGCAAACCAGAAATCAACCTCTTTTGTTTTTGTCGCCACAGGTGTCACCCATCAGTAAGCAGGTGGTAGGGTCCAGGGTCGACACCTGGCAATCAACTGTAAATTCTCCAATTAGAGCAGAGTATTAATAATTGCCTTGTTTATAATTCAATTTCGAAGGCGGTTATTAACACCTCCAGTATTTCGTTGGGTGGCTGCAAGTTCTGTGTCAAGAAAATGCGACTGCATAAAGCCTTAAAATAAATTATTTTACAATTTGCTTCCCACGCAGTGATTATAGACCGCGAAGACGTCATGTAAACTAGTCTGCTACATTTAGTCGTGCACCCTTGCCCTTGCAGTTGCACCTCCTTCATGGGGTTTTGTAGACCGTTTGTTCCAGGGCGTAAATTCGGGGTGAGGGGTGAGGGATGGGGGTATATATCCCCCCACACTTTTTGACCGGGGGGAGGGGAGATGGGCTATTGAATCAACCCCCCCCCCCCCACACACACACACACACACACTTTTTTGTGATGAGAAAGAAAAATGCGGTTTTTGAGGTATTTTCCGAACCCCCAACTTTGGGAGGCTAATCATCCTTACTCGCAGCTGGTATGCTGAATTGCGAAGGACGCGGCTACAACGTGGTTGGGCCACTGGCACGTAAAGGCGCCTATGGCTGCCGGCCACATCGACTCAATATATGACCACGGAGCACAGCCTGAGCATCGAAAGTGTGTGGCGATAGCTCCATGGTGAAAAGAACTGAAAAGTGGAGAAACAAAGTGCAAAAACTGTAAAAATGTAAGCGCAAGTATACATCTTAATATATATCTTTATCCTGAAGAGCGGCCCTAGTATATTGTGGTGTCAAGCCCCCCCCCCCCCCCTTACCCCCGCATTTCGAATTTCCACGGCCGGGCAATTTTAGGATTTTGGTCATCCCTATCCCCCGGTCCCCCACTCGCCGGCACAGATTTACGCCACTGGTTTGGTCAGGTTCGTGCCCAGTTGAGGCAAGGAGGTTGCAATTCCCCCCCCCCCACCCCGCCACTGCTCCCTCAATGGCTACATTTGGCCTGTGTTTTTTAACTGAAGACATCAACATTTCACAACTAGAACTGCCCACCAGCGTGTTAAACACAACTACGGCCAAAAAATGTAAATGTGTTTTTCAGGAAAAAAATGTAGATTTTACTCCCCCTATTCCTTCCTCCATGATTATAGCCTACATATATACACTGAACCAGATTTATGTTGAGGGGGTAAACTTGAAGTAACGACATATAGCCTAAGAGGTTAGATGGGAAGGGATGGGATTTGTCTTCAAGACTTCATGAACCCCCTTCTCGCTTTCCTGATGCCCCGCCAACCATTTTCCATAGAGCGGTGAATTGGCGTGCAGCAGGTGCATCAATACACATACGAAATTTGTTATTTTATACCTTGAGAATGTGTTTTTACTGAACACAGAAAAGTAACGGATTGATGACTTGTTTTGCAGATAGAAGGCTGTCTGATTTTCTACTTGTTTATGATTTTTTTTAAAATTTGTCCCGACTTCAGATAATCCGTGCCTGTCAGCTTTCTGGTTTAGGATGACGCACCATCTTAATAAAGCCAGATTGAGGAAGGGGTGGCACAGGTTGTCATTTCGTTTTTACGAGTTGCCGTTTCACCTTAAATTTCAACCTGAGTGATGTTGGCAGGGGCGTGCGACCGATTGCTTGCCAAGCCGCGAAGCTTCTGTCAACACTTCGGACACCTACTTAAATAAAAACAAAACCAGGCAGCAGTCATCGACTACACCGCCAAGGTCCAGGGACGAGTCTTGTCATATCGGTTTAGTATTTCTGCAACTACACTGTCCAGTTAACGGTCATCCTAACGATGCATAATCTGCGCCCTTGTCCTCTGCGTTTCGGTCACGGTACAATTTTTGGGTATTTTTTATTTGTTTAAAGCTTTACTTTCACCTTGCGACTGATCCTTATATTCGAGGCTGTAGGAACAGTGGCGTTGCACTGTCATTTTTATTGGGGGGTAACAATTTTCTTGAAAAGGGCACTTTTTTCCCGGGCACTTGTTGGCCTCCGTAAATTCAAATAGTTGGGGGGGGGGGGCT